CTAGATTATTACCTAGAATTATAGGTTCTTCTTTAATAGGCTCTCCGGTAGGCTCTTTAGTAGGAGGCACTTTAGCAGGCACTTTAGTAGGCACTGTGCTACTAGCGTTGTCGTTGCTAGCGCTGCTAGCGGCAGCACGGTTGTTGTTTCGTAATAAACCGGCTATTATAAGGGGCGATACTAATAATGTATTATTAGCCCCTAAGATACGGATATAGCGGAATTAGTAGATATCGGCCTAGTATACTTAACTTAGTATAATAGGCCGTATAGAAGGCCTTGCTTAATAATTAGTACGGTTGTTTCGATAGAATAGTACGTATAGGTCCTATTCTTTAGGCGCAATATAGTTAGATTAGTCTTATTCGTAGCTATACCGCTAAAAGCTTGAAATAAGGACTATCTAGCTACTGCCCTTAAAGGGTAGATCGAATACTATATAAGAAGGGTTATGTTAGCAGGTAGATAGGGTAGTCGTAAATTAGTATAGTATTTAATAGAGATCTAAGAGGAGAGGGAGGAAGGCAGGCTAGTTAACCTAACGCTAAGCGCCAAGCCCTGCCTAAGGCACTAAGACCCTAGCTTTACTCGGCCTAATTATATGCTAATTACGTATAGCCTCTTTAGCTCTAATATAGTATACTAATAGACGGAGCCGGGAAGCGAGGACAATTTAGAGTAAGGGTCGCAAAGGATTTTAAACCTAGAATAGGTAATAAGTGCTCCGATCTACTAACGATCTTATTAACTATAATCGATAGTAGTAGGATTACGGTTACCTCCCCCTTAGGCGGAGAGGGTTGTAAGAGCCTCTACTACTAGGGTATAGAGGTAGTCTAGAGGTACCTTCGAAGCACTAGTAACATTAGGGCCGTTATCTAGTAATTTTTCGTTAGTAGTTTCTAGCCTAATAATATACCGGCTATCTCTAAGCTAGAAGGTAGCCGATCTATTAACGATTGCCGTAAGGATACGACGAACGGGGTTATTCGTAAGAGCCTCGTAAGAGTCTCTAAAGGGCTTATTAGGCGCCTTAAAGTAGTCCTCCGGGTCCCCGGTAATCGGGTTCTAGATAAATGTTCCCTTCCGGAAAGAGATAAGAGGGTTAGTATCGGCGAGCTAGTCCTATCCTAAAACTATATCGTATTCGGTAAAGGTTCTAGCCTAGAAGGTTTAAGGGATAGTACGTTCGATACCTGTCTTATCCTTTACTATTAGGGAGAGGGAGTAAGCCTTATAGATCGTTATACGATTATTGTCGAGGAAAGTGACTTTCGGAGGGACTAGATCTAGCGGTACTAGGTCTAGGACTTTCGCTATATACTAAGAGATAAGGTTAACTTAGGTACTATAATCGATTAGTACCTTAAGGGTACGCGTAAGGCTCTTATAAGGCACCTCGACGTCGACGATAATACGTCGTTCTTTTCCTCTAGTATTAGGCCCTAGTCGTAGTAAGAAGAGGGAAGCGACTAGGGCTTCGTGTTTTCCGAATCCGTAGAGGCTTAGCTATCTCCGGCGGAAGGATTAGAGGTTAGGTTTACCGATCCGCCCTAGGCTTAGCCTCGGCTACGGTTTCTAAACTAACCCCGACCGCTACCTCTACCCCTAAGGCCCCTTAGAGATGCCTACGAGGTACTAGGAGGGGTATTAGTTCTAGAACTAGATGTTTGCTTAGAAGACCCGCTAGGATTACGAGCACTCTTAGTAGTATCTTTCTTCTTTATAGACTCTAAGTCTTCGATATAGTATGCCTCGTCGAAGAGGTTATTAATAGTCTAAAACGAGATTAGTTTGTTAATACGGATAATCTCTACTTAGATGTCCTTTAGAAGCTTAGTATAATAGAAGTCGATACGTATAGTTTTATACGATCTATCTTTAGGAAAACTATACTCGATTTAGCTTTCGACCTTCTTTATATAGGCGTAGAACTTTATTACTAGCTAATTAGCGTAATATATAGTACCCTAGTAGGATATAGCGTTCTTAGCTCGTTATATAGCCGGAGGCCTAATAGTGTCTTTAATAAGCTCTTTATACTCGGACTATCTAAACTTAGTATAGTTATCTATATACGATTAAACACGTCGTTTAACGGTAGCAGTAATCTCTACTAGCTTAATCTTACTAGTCGCCTATAGAGTACGTTAGGTACTATCTCGATCGGTATAATTTATATAGAAGAAGCGGGCCTCGTATACTTAGGCCTACTTAAGAAAAGCTTAGTTGTTTATAGTAAGAAGCTCTAGAGGATCTTTCTTAAAGAGCTTAATTAAGGGGTCTCTTAGAGGCCCTAGAGGTATACCGTACCTACGAGGTACTAGCGGGGCCTATAATCTCGTCGACGGTCTCTACCCTCTTCCTTTTAATAGCAATCTTGCTCTTAAAGGAGGCAAGGAGATCTATAAGGGTTTTACGCTTCTAAACGTAAGTGTCGAAGGCTTAGCCTTCTAGTTCCTCTAGTAGTAAGGCATCGAGGGCATTAATAAGTCGAGAAACTCGATTAATGTTATTCTTTACTATCTGCTAGGTATTAGCCTAAGGGTTTAGGTCCTAATCCCCTTCTTTAGGACTAGATTCTATATAGCTACTTATACGGGAGCTACGAGGTCCCTTTAAGGTACTTGCGGTATCGTCCGGAGTAACGTCGTTATTTTCTTCGTTATTGTCCTAAAGTTAGTCCCTAGGTCCGGTAGGGAATGTTTGTTCTAATACTAGAGGGTCGATATTAGGACCTTTTCCTTTAGATAACGATATACCGGTTCCGCCGGCAGCCTTACTACTTCCTTTAGGAGGTATAGTACTAATAAGTAGGTAGTACTACGTTAGGAGTAGGTACGTTAGTTAGAGGTGCTTTCGGGTAGCTTAGAGGCACCTTAAAGGGGCCTAGTAGATGCTAACAACGTAGGTACTACTATTTAGAGGTCGTACTTAGTACGGCTATACTCCTAAGAAGGATTCGGAGGCGATATTCTATAAGGAAGTAGTATATAGGGAGTATTAATACAAGCGAATAGTAGTCTTAGCATTTAACGATATCGTCTAAGAAACGAGCGATTCTTAAGGTAGGAATAGGCGCCTTATCCTATAGTACTAAGAGTTAGGTAACTCGGGGCTACCGGCGAGGCACCTCTAGGGTGCCTTATAGGTGCCTAGTAAGGGTCTCGGCGGTATAGAAGGGTATTCCCTTATACTTATATAACTATAGTAACCGCGTACTCGATATACTAGTCCGAAAACAGCTAGCTAGGGCTTATATAGCTAATCGTAATTAAAGAAAGGAGAGATAGTATAAGGTAGTACGTAAGCTTAGTATTGTTAAGTCGCTACTTAATAACGTAGAAGAGGCTTAGCCGCTTCTAACCCCTATATTGTTATAGGTAAGTAACGCGTACGCAGATACTAGATATAAGACTTAATAGGTTCGATAAAGAGCTAAGTCTATCTACGTAAATCCGAATAGTTTTATATAGTACGCTAAGCGCTAAGCAGTAGGTTAGAGTCGCGTAGGCCGAATGCCTAAGGCTAGCGCTTTCTACCTAGGGCGTAGCCCTTTATATATATATTCTAGAAATATCTCTTATAATCCGAAAGAAGCGAGTTATATATTACCGCTAATTCCTTAAGACTAATTAGCTAAGAACGATTTATACTAATAAGTTTCGTCTTTAGCTTATTTTTCTAAAAACATAGATTACGCGGCTAGCTAATAATATTAATAATCGAAGCTACTCTAATATAAAAAGCCGAGACCTTATATTTTTAAGAGTCTATCTTAGGCCTTAGCTTTTAGCGTTAGACCTCTAATTAAATTTTATTATTATTAAGCTATCTAAGGACGAAATATAGACTAGCTAATACTATCGCGAGAATATCCTATTTTTAGTTATACTATTTCGCTTAGCGCTTAAAATAGAATAGGGCGGCAGCTCCTTTTTATTAGTTAAAAATAATACGCTATATTATAGGGCGGCGCTAACTGCTAAAGTATATATAGATATAGGGACTAACCGTATAGTACTACTACCCTATTCGTCGGAGCTAAACCTAATTAAGAATATATAGGGCTATTAAAAGGATCGGATTAGTAAGCGAGTACCGCGACTAGCTATATTTACAGAGCTCTAAGATACGACTAAGTAAGAGTAGCGTAGAATTCTAAGGAGTTATTTTTAAAATTTATTTAACTCTATATAGAAGCGTTATAAAATAATTATCGCTTCTAACGGTTACCTAATCGATTATTAGCTAGCTTTATTTAGCCTCTTAATTAAATTTAGTTAGCGCCGCGCTAGCAGGGATTACCGCCGTCCGCTATCTCGCTTAATTAGGGTGTATATATAACAAGGTTTCGATCCGATCAGGGTTCGGGCTCGACACCGAAACTCTATATACGCCTCCAAAAGAACTGTCAGGCTCCTTTCGCACTCTCGTAGTAGATATGCTTGGAAGGAGACAATCCTGGACGTTTGCAGCTTTGACTTTGCAATATAGGATAAGCCGTAATGCTATAGCAGACGAATATCACTCAGCGACGAGCTGATCAACGCTGGCTGTAGGCTGAGCAGCCAGTTACCACCAAACGATATCCCTACTCCTCGTTGTCCTTACATCGAAGTCGAGGGAGGCTCCTTGAAGAGGAGACCGTCCCTGAGAAAATCTCTCGGCCCACCTTGAAACCCCCCTTGTGAGTAGATTGAGAGCATAAGCGATCGACCATTACGAATGAACGACCCACTCGAGCGCAAAGTGTTCCATTGGCATGATGTTGTGGTCCAGTACACCTTCAGATTGATGAAGAGATGTGAAATCATCACAGCTGATCCTTGATTTCTGACCGCGGCGTGTGGGTTGACGGGATCGAGTTTCGAAAGTTGACTTCCGCGTAGGACTGCTTTGCTCGGTTCCCAACCTGTAAGATAGAAAGCTGGACCAGATGCGTCCGAGATCCGTATTCGGCCGGTCAGCAGGGCACTGAGCTCAAGCGAGACTTTCTTCAAGAGCCATTGTTTCTGCTTTTGATCATCGAGTTCTCACTTCCCAGTCTTCCCTTCATACATCGTTCGAAGCCTGTCCCCATCAAATTTGGCAACGAGGATATTGCACGTCTGATAGGAGCTACTGCAGATTCCCTCTCCCGAAGGATCAAGATGCAGGGATGGCAAGGTCCCGGGATGACGCACGAGGGTGGAAGTGCACTTTGCGCATTTGCATAACATGACTTCTGCCTTGCTGCTTATAAATTCAGCAAATTGGTCAATGTACTTCCACATCAGACTTTGATCTTTGCTGATCAGCTGGCGAAAGTCATTGACCTTCATGAGAGCGAAAATATGCTTCTTTTCCAACTCGCTCGCGACTGCCAAATCCTTCTCCGAGAAAGCGTGCTCGCGGATATGCATTATGGCATCGAAGACGGCCTGCGGCTCTGCAATCACACTCGCGTGAGAAACAAATTTCTGATTAGCAATTGCAGCCACGCCAGGCAAAAGATATTTCTCGGCCGTCTTTGCTATCTCTAGCTGGAGAGTCCATTCGTGGTCTTGATCGTTGTTGTCTTGCTTGGTGTATAGGTATTTCAAGATCGCTTCAACTGCGTCGGGATGGTCGCCTTTCAGCTCAATTGTTTTCTGCTGGCTTTCCGCGAAATGACTGCCGGGGCCACAAAGCTTTTTGAAGTACTCGGAGGTTGTGCACAAGATAATCTTATGGCAGAACACCTCTCGACCGCTGAATCTGATAGTCACGTCTGAGTAGTCTGGCTGGTTGTAGAGGGTGGCAGTCTGCAGAGCCATGGCAATTGTTCGTCACTGCCTGCATGGAAAGTTGATGAGGAAGATACGGATCAGTTGGATGGCTGGGAGATGAAATGAGACGCTATGACCACCATGATTATGTAATCACGCCTGAGGAAGATGTCTTAGTAACATGTCTGCGTCTCATGCTCGTCGCCTGGCATCGGCTCTCTCCATCTCGCTAGTTCGCCTTGCCTCTGTTCCCCGGCGAGTCCAAGACGTCATGCTGCCGATCGCAGCTTGCTCAAAAGGATACTCTCTGTGGCAGTTGAACATATCCCTACGAGGCTGTAGTCGCCGTACCATCGCGCTCACAATTCATCAGGTCCAATCGTGAGCCTCTTACTCCTTCGAGCCGTTGAACTTCTATCGTGCTGGCTGCTTTGGCCCTTGGCCCTCTCGTGACAACGACAAGCTGCTACTGTGGGAACTCTAGAGAACCCAAAAATCTTCAAGAAGGCAACCTGCAGCCTCGACGCCTTCAAACGCCGGAGATGTGGCGCGGGCTCTGGAATTGCTGATATGGCACTAGAACACGCCGGAGTGGGGGCCTGGAAAGAGTGCATTTATCCGAGCGAAGCCGGATGTTTTTAGGCCGAAGTTGGAGTGTTCGAGGAGCTTGCGACGAGGACACGGAAACGGAGGTCTAAAAACAGTAGGCGAGCGGCGGATAACAATCAGTCTTAGCAGCAGTGTAGAAGGCGTATTGCGAGGGTCGTCTACGGAAGGGGTTGAATCTGAAGATACGCTTATACAAATTCAGCTATAGCCTCTCATTGGTCGAAAAAGAAAACGAAATCACGTGCTCGTAGCCTTAGGCCTTCGACTCTTACGTTACTTCCTTGCAAGCGCGACAATAACAATAACAACAAAGCACAACGATATAACGACACTATGCGCCGACGACACTATGCGCCAAAGCGATACGCTAAATCTGCGATCGTACGACGAGACGACGGCAGCACGCACCGCACGTACCGCACGCACCGTACGCACCGCACGCACCGTACGCACCGCACGCACCGTAGGCGCCGTACAAGACATACAAAACAGAAAGAGATTGGCATAGCTTAATATTGGCCCAAGACTAGATTGTTATCCGCCGCTCGCCTCCGGCTTCGCTCGGCTATCCTGACCTGCACCGCGGGTCTACGGATACTTTATATCAGATGACTGGAGCATCCAAACTCCTAGTGCTCGACAGTCCAAAGAAATATGCTGAGCAGATAGGCATCCATCTACACTCTGAACAACTAGAACATCTCTCCACTCCCTTAGTCATTTAGAAATTGCCCTTCAACGCGGTCGAGAACTCTGGGAACTTGCTATGCTCTAGCAGCGGCCTCCCTTACTTGCCCTCAAATGCCCTGTTCATCCAAGCAGCAGTATATCCCGCCAGAATCTGCACTATTGTAGCAGGCCGAGTTGTGCCAAATTAGCTAGCAACATCTACTCCAGCCGCTTGCATTCATGTAGGCACATTCGAGAAAGCCTTATGTGTTATGTTCGCGACATTGACCCACAGCTTCGGTCCATGCAGCTGTGGCTACGATTTCGCCCAAATAGGTGTTTTCGAAGGATCAATGTTGGCTTCACCTATAAACAATACTGGCTCATTTGGCCGTGCAGCTCAAGTGTCATGATCTAACATCATTCAATGACACCGGTGTTCCGTTCATGTCTGAGCATATTATGATGTTATTTCTCCGATACCTTATCTCTCTTGATGCTGTAGGTGGTTAGATCGACAGTTCTGTTGGTGAAGGACGCGTTGTGAGGTGAAAGCAACGCTCGGACCACGCATTGAGTATGTAAGCAGTGTCTTATCGATAAGATGCTCTCGTCATGGTCTCTTTGGCCTCATGAATCTCACTCTCTTTCTTACTCTTGATGTTCAAACCCAAATTGCACTGTGAAATAACATGTCAGATTTCAGAAACTTGCGAAATCTGAAACAGCAATAACTAAAAGTCTGCTCGTGGAAAAGACGTCCATAATGCAGCTACTACGAAAGCCCCTCACATCTATCGCTCGAGCGAAATCGATACTACCGGCGAGTCGCACGCTACTACAACAAAATACTGCCACTCGCACCTTTAGAAGTTCATCACGATATCATGCCGCGCTCCTCCCACCTCTGAACCTCCCCAAATGGCTCTCCGAGAATTCCCATCTGCTCAAGCCTCCAGTCAACAACTTCTGCGTCTACAACGATCCTCTCACAGTCATGGTTGTCGGCGGCCCGAACGCGCGAACAGACTACCACATAAACACAACACCCGAATTCTTCTACCAATACAAAGGCCGCATGCTCTTGAAAACGATCCAAAACATCGACGGAGTCGAGACTTTCAAAGATGTGTACATTAACGAAGGCGAGATGTTCCTCTTGCCAGCAAATACTCCGCATAATCCCGTACGGTTTGCGGATACCGTTGGAGTGGTGATTGAACAGCCCAGACCCGAGGATAGCTTGGATCGACTGAGGTGGTATTGTCAGAATTGTGGGACGAAGGTACATGAGGCGGCTTTTCATTGCACGGATTTGGGGAGTCAGATTAAAGAGGCGGTTAATGCTTTTAAGGCTGATGAGCAGAAGAGGAAGTGTGGGAAGTGCGGGGACATTTGTGATACTGCGCCGAAAGAGGAGGCTATAGAGGCTATGCGGACAGGATCGTGATACAGAGGCTATGCACGCAGAGCGTCTGGGTTTTGAAGACCAATGGCAATGATTTGGGCCATGATTCGGTCTGTCCTAGCGCATTCTATAATGGCAAAAAGGCTATCTCAGCTTCCCAGCTAGGCCGAAATGGTAGCAGAAGGATCGACTACATTGCCGGCCATATCGGCTGTGGACAGTGGACAACCCTCCCAGGTGATGTCGTTGTCATCTTGATTGGCGCAAAGGTCCCTTTCGTGCTTATGCTACAGCCAGATGGATGATAATCACTCATTGGAGATTGCTACATTGATGGCATAATGGACGGAGAAGCAGTAGAAGAGACAGAAAGGGGTAAGCTCCAATTTGGAACATTCGAGTTGTGTTGATCATCTTGAGTTCCTGAAAATGCCAAACGGTTGCTCAAACCTCGTCCTGGCATTCTCTCGTGCACGAAACTCGGCGCACAGATACCTATTGCAGGGTTCAATGTCCCCATTCGTGAACACTCTCTGGGCAGTCAGACGATGAATCTCAGAGATCAAAAGCGCAAGAGAAACAAAACCCTCGTTCTGCCGGCAGAATATAATGTTGTCCATGATCCGCGTATCAAGAGCAACTGCTCGTCAACCCCAAGACCTCCGAGGCCTGCGAAAGATTCTCGGGATTTATTCCCGCTTACCTGGAATAAAGTCCCTCGCATCTGAAGCCAAATTCGACTCGATGAATATCTTACCACTCGAAAGAAAAACTAGAGACCAGAAGACCAGCTAATTCAACCCCCTCCCACCAACGTTCAATCTCCCAAAGAAACTTCCTCTCCCAACGCGGGATCCACTATACCATCATCTCATCAGCCCAAATCCTCTCAACCTTCTTATCAGACAGATATTTGAGGACTTACACCGCGGACCTCATGATTTTTCCCTGTCTTTTACAGTCATACGCCTTTAGGTAGGGAATCTTTAGTACATGTACGAATTTCTGAAGCCTGAATGAAAGAAGGGTCTTACTCTTCCAGCTGAGCTACGAAGATGTTAGTGCCTCATGCAACGAATGATAGGAGGAATGGCGGTGGGGTGTAACGTACCTTACCATTGAGAGTGGGTTAGAATAAGAGATTTTGACTAGATGGATGGGTTATGGGAAATGTGTTATACCTAGAGATGTGGGGTGGGTGGGTTAGGAGATATGGGTATAAGGTGAGAGAAGGAGTTGATGTCGTTTTTTTAATTTTCTAATTCTATTCTACTGCTGTCCAAAATTCTATTTCGTGCTACCAAAAATCCATCTCCTTGTCGAAAAAAAGCGTCGGTATAGTTCTTCTTCTATCCTCGATTACATGTACTGTAGAAATCCAACGACGGGCCGCAGGGGTCTTCAGACTCGAGCCACGGTGGGTAGAGGTCGTAATCCGTGGAAGCCTCGCAGTGCTTGCGAAGAGACTCGAGACAGGCTTTTCTCTCCTGCTCGGAAAGCCAAAGCCGAGGCTGAGGCTGAGGCTGAGGCTTAGGCTGAGCCTGGGCCTGAGCCTGGGCCTGAGCCTGGGCCTGAGCCTGAACCTGAGCCTGAACCTGAGTCTGAGTCTGAGTCTGAGTCTGAGTCTGAGTCTGAGTCTGAGCCGGAGCCTGAGCCTGAACCCGAGCCTGGAGCTTTGGAATGACCGTGAAACTCTCACAGTTGCGGCAAATTGCGTGGGAGTGCATAGCTTCGAGTTGGTTTCCACAGCCCCGGCACGGGAGACCTCCCATGTTCATGATATCTTGCTCGGTCATGGTAGATGCGAAGCTAATAGCCTCCGAAGTTGCGGACGAGTCACTATTAGACCGTGAATGAGTTTGGTCGGTATCGGAGGCAGCAAGCATAGAGTCGATTGGAGATTGGCGGTCAGGCGTTGGGGCCTGAGGCTGAAAGTCTTTCTGAGGACTTCTCGGGTGCTCCACATGTTTTGGATCCGGTCGAATTTCTACAGCGTGACTCTGCTTAGGAGGAATTTGGAACAGAGGCTGTTCGGGAACGAAAGCAGAAGCTGAGGCCGAGAGCCTTTTAGACTGTGGCGACAATTGTTGACACTGGATGGGCAGGAGACCGGCTGCTGTCATGATCTTCTGAACTTGCTCTTTACGTTCCCAGATGCCGATTGGTGAATACTTGACCGATGTTCCGACCAAGATAGGATTTCTGGCGAAACTCAGTCTCATACCAGCCTGTCGCCCTATGGTCTTCAAGTGGGGGAGAAATTCGCCATCCATATTCTCTTTGGCTCTCATCGCATCTAGTGTGGTGTGGAATTGTACAAGCGCTTGCGGTGTCCCATCGTGCGACTTGACATAGCTTCGGCGAAAGCCAAATTGGGTCTTGAAGCACTCATCAAGTTCAGTTGTAAGGAGCCGTTCATAACATGCGTCGATGTGAGCCTTGTAGCAGGCCGTTGATTTCGCTTCATGGATTATCGCCAGAAGGTTGCCGATGTAGAGGGTATCGATTGGGTCTCGGCTAGCATCAGATTCCTGGCGTTTCTTGATTCGCTGCGCCCGTTCTGCAGCAATTGCTTTCTTCTCGGCCTTCGAGATTGATTCTGCATTTGCCCGCTCTAGGAATGGTCTTGGAATGTCTTGACGGTCGAGTGCGACAGGCAAGGCTCTAATCGCTCGCCAGTCCCGTTCCCAGGGGCGACCTTGATGTTGCATCCGGACTCCACGTGCCTGCAACATGTTCAAGACTGTAGTGTGGTTGGTGAAGTCTGTGTTGTTGTGCTCGTAGATGTTGTCGTAGTGGTTGGTGAACGGAATGCCCTACTGAAGCCGGGCGGACGTTGCGATTGTGGTTTGAACATCGCAGTGAAAGGAAGACCGTAACTGATATACGGATGGAAGTCTGACTGACACCATCTAGTCCTCAGTATTCCTGAGGACGTGTTATGCTTTGTTCCCAAAAGCTTCCAGAACGGCAAGCTTTCCTCCACACCTGAGGACAAGTCCACCCGCAAGGAGAAGAGCAAACGCGAAAGTGTCGAGATCTGAGTAGCCCGAATACACATGAGACGTCTCCATTTCGTGCAAGGTTCACAGCTAGGTCGACGGTGAATGAGATAACCGCAATGCTTACGCTAATCCTGCTCATCGAGATCATCCACTCATCGACCTCTTGGGCGGATGATATCTCCCTCCACAATGCCCCCGCTACCCTCGTGAAGCACCATTGCCTCCCTCCGCCGTCTCCTTCTCTCAGCCTCTGCACTGCCAGTGTTAGAGGGTCGAGGGTGCGGGAAATTATCCCACCCGGCGAATCTGGCTTGTCTAGCCAGGTCATCATGGCTTATTTCGTTAAGCGCTTCGAGCTCCTCCAGACGAGCTACAACGCCGGAATCCAACATTTCCTCGTCGGGACTTTCCTCGGCCAGCATATCCCACTCACTTCGATCCATCATTGGCATTTGATTGCGTGCGCGGTCAAAAGGCAAATTGCCGTAGCCGTCGGCGAGATCCAGGCCCCACTCCTGTAAGAAGCGCACAGCTTGACGAGCTTGGCGACGAATGTCCTCATCTCCGCTGAGCAGGTCGTTTCTCAGAATGTCAGAGGCACCCGGCCAGGACGCAAAGCGCTTGATCACGATATGCTCAGCAGAAGATGCGATAGACCGGTTCGGATGCTTGATAAGAGTGCGCAGAGTGTGCAGGGGAATTGCTAGAACCGTTAGCGGTCGGAGTGTGGCATTGATTTGGTCGTGACATACAGTGCTCGGGATGGCCGGCGTCCTCCTTCTCGCTGGGATATTGATCGGCGTCGAGCTCAGTCAGACGAACGACATCTTGCATGGCATTCTGCACGCCCTTGGCCGCGAAGAAGGCGAAGATGCCGAACGCAAACCACAGCCACTTGTCGTCGATACGATGCGCCATCTGTAGCCTAGCTCATTCCTTGGCAGCCTTGACGACCGGTATACTGTGTGCAGGACCGAGCTTGGCGGTACTTGATGCCACTGCCTCCAGAGTCCAACACGCTTGCCGGCGAGGCAATCATTTTGTGTGGATGACCACTGGGAGAAGGTGTGTGGGAGATTGAAAGAAGCGAAGCTTCAACACCTCGGCAGCTTGCAGGCATCGGACCGAACTCCGTCCCGAGAGCCCCACTTTCTCCCGGGATCTCGAGAAAAAGTTCACGACCAGAGAGTCGTCTTCCATCTTTTGCATGTAACGCTCACCTCGCCACAATGCCCGCGTCGCAGTTGAAGAGGCTGAAGCAGTCGCTGAGAGACCAGGGAATTACAGGACCTCAGAAGTCAAAGAAGCAGAAGAAGCAGCTCTCACAGCAGCAGAGGGACAAGCGCAACGACCGAGCCGCCGCACTACAAAATATCCGCGATTCCTTCAACCCATTCGAGCTCAAGCCGACGAATGCGCGACCCGAGAAATTCCAGTCGGCCACTCAGAATGGGGCGAAAGGCGCGTACAAGGCGGTCCTGCACCGGCCTGGCGTCACCAAGTCGGCGGGAGAAGAGATGCGACGGTCGACGCTGCTTCCCGAGATGAGAAGACGAAATAAAGTGGGTGGGCTTGTGGATCGCAGGATTGGCGAGGGCGATGCGCAGATGACGCCTGAGGAGAAGGCCGCGCAGAGATTTGCCAGAGAGAAAGAGCGAGCTGCCAAAGGAAAAAGTCTTTTCGACCTGGAAGCCAGCGACGAGGAGACTGGTGGTGGATTCAAGCTTACTCACGGCGGCAAGGGCCTGGAAGCTGTAGAAGGCGACGACTTTGGTGAGAGTGTCAGCGGCGGCAGCGACGATGAGAGCGATGACGCCTTCATGCGAAAGAAGAGGCGGCGCTCAGATGTCGAGGACGACGAAGAGGCCGGAGATGTAGCAGAAGACCAGCCGGAGCGAAAGAAGACGAAAAAAGAAGTCATGGAAGAGATTATTGCCAAAAGCAAAATGCACAAATACGAGCGACAGAAGGCGAAAGAGGACGACGATGACTTGCGCGAAGAGCTCGACAAAGGGTGGGGAGATATTGAAGCACTTCTGCAGGGAGTGAAGAAGCCGCCTCCACCTCCCAAACAGTCCGCGTCTGCAGCTCCCTCGAGCAATGGTCCCACAGTCAATCCCGACCGGCAAAGGCTTCTCGACGGCATGGACCGTGACAAGGCAGATAAGGAATATGATGTGTATCTGAAAAAGCTTGCGAATGAGGCAAGAGCACAGCCATCAAACAAGAGCTTGACTGCGGAGGAGAAAGCTGAGAAGGAGGCGAAGAGGCTGAAAGATCTTGAGGAGAAGCGATTAAAGCGTATGCAGGGCGAGGAAGTGTCCGAGGATGATGCTGAAGCAAAGAATGAAGACGTTCAAGCTGAAGGAGACGAGGACATTCCAGATGAGGCCGCAGATTTTGGTTTCACGTCGACGATACAGCCCAAGAAGCAGAAGACGGAACAGCTTGTACTGGATGACGAGGACGAATTTGCCCTGGAAGACGGTTTGGTTGCGAGCGAGGACGAGATCGAGGATGTTGAACTAAGCGATGAGGAGGAATCTAGAAGCGACGACGAGGATGAAGTTGACGGCGAGCAGAAGCCTCCTGCGGACGAAGAGGATGAATTCGTCAAGGATATTCTCGGCACAGACATGGTTAAGTCGGCATCTGGCGCGAACGACACGCCAGTATCGACTGGCCCTCGAATCTCATATACATACCCTTGTCCGAGGTCCCACGTGGAGCTTCTGGACGTTATCAAGAATATTCCGGTAGAGCAACTGACAACTATCGTCCAGCGCATCCGAGCACTCTATCATCCTTCGCTGTCAGCTTCGAACAAGGAATGCATGGGAGACTTCTCATCTGCCCTAGTGGACCACCTATCTTGGATGGCTGATCAAAATCAACCCATGGTGATCATTGAGCAAATAATTCGCCACCTGCACTCTTTGTCACGAACTTATCCCAATCTGATCGGCGAAGCATTCAGGCGGCACATTGCCGCTTTCAGCGAACGTGGCCAGCCAACTTCAGGCGATCTGGTGCAGTTGACTGCGATCGGTTCGATCTACCCAACAAGCGACCACTGGCATCAGGTTGTAACACCAGCCATCACTACCATGGCAAAGTGGCTTGCTCTAAACGCTTCTTCAACGTCAAAGCCGCTGAGTGCCAAGACATTGTCAATCGGCGCTTTCCTCGTGGCACTTTGCTTGAAGTATCAACGTCTCAGCAAGCGGTATATTCCCGAGGCTATCAGCTTCACACAGCGTGCTCTCGCAAGCAAAGTCGATTTTGCTCTGCTTGCTACACATGTAGTCAACCTGACTGCTATGGCAGACCTCTGGAAGGACAAGACCGCATTCATCGAAATCTTCAAGCCTAGCTTACCACTTCTGAAGCGACTCAACCAAAAAGGCGCTCACACTCACATATCAGTCTTGATTCAACAAGCAAGGCAACAGCGTCGACCTCTTGAGCTCCATCACCACAAGAAACTACCCATTCGAACCTCAATACCTAAATTCGTGGAGGACTTCAACCCTGATAAGCACTACGATCCAGACAAGGAGCGCAGTGATGCAAACAAGCTGCAGAAGGAATACAAGAGGGAGAGGAAAGGTGCTCTTCGCGAGCTTCGGAAGGATGCGAACTTCATTGCGAGAGAACAGCTCAAGGAGAAGAGAGAGCGCGATGCTGAGTATGAGAAGAAGTACCGTAGGCTCATTGCGGAGGTGCAGAACGAGGAGGGTCATGCTGGTAAGGAATATGAGAAGGAGAAGAACAGGCGGCAGAGGGAGAAGAAAAGGTAACAACCTATCAAGATGTACTAATGTGGAGAAAGTTACCACGAGAGCTTTAAAATTACTTGATCGCGGACTCTCGGGGCGGATACCTGCAGTGCACTTCTTGGCATCGGCAGCGTTTGTACAAACGCAACAGCTCCATCGTCTGGCTCAGACACAGTTCAGCGAAACACCATTAGCTACTGACCAGGCCGAACAGCGGACTGCCTCTTCAATATGGCAACACAAGACAAATGTGAGACTCAGAAGTCCTCTGCTAATCAGCGATCAGACCGGCAACTCAAGGAAATCTGCGTCCTTTTCCAGCTCAAGAAAGAGCATTATCAATCTTTCAGAAGTCTGGCAATATACCATCTTCGGAAGAATACCACTGTAGCTCGCCTCAAAGAGCAGCTCAATGACATCTCTGGACAACCTATTGTAGAGCTCGCGGTCAGCTTCTTGGCCACGTACGGACCAGCGTTGTGGCCTGCCGACTCAAAGTTCCGAACGCATCTGCTCAAGGCACATCTCGGGATTTGGGGCAGCAAATTCGGTTTAGGGACGCCAAGCTATGTGAAAGACGCTTCTATGACTGTCTGGGCAAGAGCCAAATACCGGAAAGAGAATGGAGGTCGTGATCCAAGACGCGATGCGGAGATGGGAGGCTCCAAGCTTGGGAAGCTGATGAGCATGTATTTCGATGCACTTCTGCCTGTCATTGATGAGGCGGGAGGAGAAGGGCAGCTTGATGGTGAAGATCTGTTGAATGCCATTCTGAAAAGAGGGAGAAGTGATGGAGAAGAAACGGTGGAAATAGGTGATACTGAAACTTCAAATGCGGCCCACGAGTCAATCTCAAGGGAGTCCAGTCCTGAAGAGCCACTTTCAGCAATCGTCCGAAGGAATAAGACCCAAATACCAAATGCGGATAAGGGTCCGCTGGCAAATTCCGGACATGTTCATCACGGAGCATTGCTGCCAGTGCCTCTTGATACCACCCACCAGAGCATAGCAGCCAACGTCGCATCACGAGACTCAAGTCGTGACACACCACTCGTGATCGAACGCGTTCATCGACTGCTCGCTCATACGTCATTCACTAACTCATCTTCCGGTGAGAACACAGTTACTTTCGCAGGAGCAGCTCCGCAGAATAGTACCTCAAGTGCAAGTCCGACGGTAGACACGCCTTCCACTGAATGGGAAGTACCAGCTGCAGCATCTTCAGCGATACCTCAGGCGTCAAACTCACAGCCTGAGCCCAAAGCCATCCAATCCGTTGACGAAGGCTCAGCGTCAATGTTCAACTCACTGATGGACATCACTTCAAACCTAGATGCTTCACCTGGCGCTGATGCGGAAAGTGCCTCCGAGCAGGATATCCACGACCAGCTCCGAGGGCCCATCGACAATGTCGAAGGTACCGCGAACAACCATAACCAGCCGTGTCAGCCAACCACCAATCTTGCATTACTCACATCCACGCCTTCGAACACACACGCCATGACACAGCCGTCAATCTCTCAGATGGACCAAGTGCCAGCAGCTACGCGTCCCGTCAGCACTATCAGACGTTGTATTCCAGCACCAGTGCAATTCGAACCGGCTGGCACTTCACGCAAGCGACCAGGCAGAATTTCTTTCGAAGGAGTTCCTTCGAAGCGGAAGGCAACAGACACCATGGACCCACCGCCACTGCCACTGCCGCCTCACTTATGGACACCAATCACTGCTGAAACGACTTGGCGACCTATACCGGAAGTTAGTGGTGACTGGGACGGAATGAGGGAGAGACTTCGGCTGATGAAGATTGCTACCGATGGGCTTGGTGGTTTGCCGAGAGTTTGAGTGCTTGTGCTACCGAATGAGACGGTGAAGACTCAGCTGGCAAGTGAGCAGGTTCTAGACCGAACTCCATGGACGGTCACGACTGGGTCTTTGAGCATGCGCTATCTGGTAGCATGAGGACTCTGGCGAAAGACTTGGTCGGCCCGACTGCGCAGTTGATGAATCAGGGGTTCGTTTACGGAGCTTTTTAGGAAGTATCAATCTGGGTCGCTTATGCGGATGTAGTGCAGTCGGCGGATGAGGTTTTAAAGGCCCATGAAACAGGTATTGATTTTGCCAAGCTCTGACTCAGGTCGAGGCGATGAGCGGAGTGCGTTGAATGTGTTCGAAATTATTCAGAATAGACGGATGAGAACATGAAGTCCAAGTACACTTTGCCTTGCCAGAGCCTGATTTGATCTGCATCAATCGGAATGCGAGCCGAGAGCCAAGAGCTGTGTCGTCACAGGGGCTGCCGAAAGTAAACGAAAGGTCAAACTTCTCTGAGCTTCGACTGCGTCGTCCTTGTTTTCGTTCTCTCCAAAGGCTGCGTTCCTACTTTGACTGACTGGAGCAAATCCTCAGCCTTGCGGTGAGAGCTGCGTGAGGCGTCGCTGAGCAACGTGCACGGATCCTGTCGTGCCACATTTCAGCCTCAGCAAACAGTCCGGGGGCCTCATTCACCGGCACTGTATATTGGGATCACAGAACTGGTTCACCGGCTTTACAAGTCTGCTGTGTAGATTCAGGCAGACTGAGCAACACACCAGCGCGCCAGCTGGCCAAAGTGAGAGCCCAGGAGTGGTTATATAAGTCCGACTCCTTTCGCTCAAGGCAAGTATAACAGCACATCTCCAACACAGATATCATCTACACATAATCATCATCTTGGTAAACAAACCTACCTGCAATTCCACATCATCATGACCTACGCAGTCCAATCCGGCGACACCTTCTGGTCGATCAGTCAAAAGCTCGGCATATCTCTTCAGGCACTTCAAGCAGCAAATCCAGGAATCGCTTCAGAGAACCTCCAAGTCGGCCAAGTTTTGAAGACTCCAGGTTCTGTTTCAGCCAAGTATACCATCGTTCAAGGCGATACTCTCTGGTCAATTGCTCGGAAACATGGCATCTCGCTCGAAGCACTTCAGGCTGCGAACCCTGGAGTCAACGCCAGCAGCTTGCAAGTCGAACAGGTTCTGAACCTTCCATCGGAAAGCACTACCACGCCAACCAATGGCGACCACCCGAGCAATGGAAACTATGTGAACTACGGTGGACCGGCATCCAACTTTCCCGATCCAAGGCTTTGGGCAAGCTACGATACTCTTTGGGCGCAGAACCGTCGCTTGATGGCATATCACGATCCGCCGAGCGAGATCGCACTCATTAAGAGCTCTATCGATAGAGTATCAACCGAGTCTGGCGTTGACAGACGTGTGATCTTATGCATCATCATACAAGAATCCGGAGGCAACGTCCGAGTTCGCACCGTAAGTTAAAATTTCCATCCCATCACAAACATCAACCTAAAGCACCGTGTAGACCTTCAACGGAGTCCGCAACCCAGGTCTCATGCAATCACACAACGGCGTCGAATTCAACCCTGCGGATCCTGCTGGTAGCATTTTGCAGATGATCCGCGATGGTACTGAAGGCACGAAAGATGGCGATGGCTTGAAACAATGTTTTGCCAAGTTTGGAAATTGGTATTCGGCGTTTAGAGCTTATAATTCTGGTTCTGTTAACCAGAATGATCTCAACGATCCTGTTGGAGCTACGGCGCATTATGTTCGCGATGCTGCGAATCGTTTGATGGGCCATACTTGGAGCGGTATGTGAGCTGAGAAAATGTCGGCGCGCGAGGACTGGATTGGAGATTGGTGAATGAGGATTTTCTTTTTATGGGCGAGCTTACAGGGTGTTGCAGATATCGACAGATTCGTAGTGTTGTGAGATCACGGCGACTTGATCGACTTAAGGCGAAGGAAGACGGCACGAGAATTTGAACGAGCACATTCGAAGCTCCGTATTGCATGGTCGTACTGCTTCGTATCTTCTCTTTCTGGAGCGCTCGAGAATCTCTGGCAATGCATGGAACCTGACCGAGTGCTGCTCAAACGCAAGCTATGGCGATCATCATCCCAAAGCACGTCTACCCGATTTTGGTGAGACTGAATTCCTTGCGATGCACACTATTTGCCGCATGCCAACTTGTGGACAGACCAATGCTTCTTCTGGCACTCTTTGTTGCAATATCTAAGCTTCTGTCAGCATGATCATGGAGAGCAAGTCGAGAGTACGTACTTGCGATGCTTGCACCCGCCGCAGGTCTCGAGCTTTCCGGCGCTCGAGCCGCAGGATCCGCATTTGTCGATGCTCTTTCTCTACGTTCAGGTCAGCGTGACTGACGGTGCTATCGAGCCGTCTCGACCGACTCACCATTCTGTTGGCTTCCACCCTAGCCTTGATCGTGCGCGTGAGTGCACTGGTGTCTGGACCGCCGAACAGACCAAATGGAGCCGGAACATTCAAACCAATCCAGCCAGTAGAAGTGAAAGTCTCCTCACCCATCATGTTCGCTGTGTCCACCAAGCCTGGAGAGCTGAGTTTCGAACGGCTCACCGCTCTTGAATCCATCAGGCCGGTTGAGTGCTGCATCAAGCTGCTTCAGTGCATCTGGCATGAAACCACAGTTGGTGAACTTGTCGCGAAGAAGGTCAAGGAAGTCATCGCTGAGTTTGCAACCTAGTTCTTCTTGTCAGGTCGGCATCCTCACATGGCGCGCTCTGGGTAACTCACCGAGCATCATGAAGCAAGCTCCCATAAGGCAGAGCCTGTAGTCACGCTGGCCACGATCCCACTTGTCCGTCTTCGCGGCAGCCGCTGCGGCCGTGTACTTCGCGATCATCTCATCGAGCGTGCCACTGGCCTCAATGTACTTGCGGATGAAGTCTGGGTCGGAAGGGTCAAACAAGCCGATGTTGACGTTCTTCTCGCCTTTGGCTTCGGCCTCTTCCTGCATGAAGTGAAAGCCTGGCATGTGAAGTAACCAAAACGTACGTATCGCGGATATGTTTCTGCACTGTTCATACCCGCCTCGGCGTCAAGGCCACTGATCTCATCGTAGTCGTGATCGGACTGAAACAGGCCATATCCCCAAGCACCCATGATGGCTTTCGTATGGAATTCGTTCTTACGGAAGGGTGAAAGAGAGGCGGGTAGCGCAACGAGTGTGTGTGAGGTCGGCGTGAAGGCAAGGGAATTTTCAAATGCGTGAAGCTCATCAGGCTAAGCAGGCAGCCGTCCATCCATGCACCTTCCGCATCTGCAGCAACAGTCGCGCACGTGTCAACAGCGCGTCGACATCACCTCTTGACATCGCGCACGAGATTTCCTTCAAATGTATGTACCCACCGATGTGCAGCTGATAATTAGGTGATGATCAATGAACCACTGTACTGGAACTCTTCGCGAACTAAGTATCGTTCGCAGCAATACTCGACGCAACATCATCGACAGGCTTTACAGATTTTCGAACAAGGCCCATACAATGAATTGCCTGGCTGGCGTTCCAGTGTCTATGGTACGGCTGAAATCGAAGACAGGAGTATTTCTCTTGCCAGCGCTGGCGACCATCCAGATTCGCGGATTTGATTCATCTAGCAGCATCGAGAACGCATCGAAATCTCGAATCCGCCAGCGTTTAGGGCAAGAGTGGCTGCGGAAGTGCTCTCAGATAACAAGCTTGAGGCGTCGTAGAGAGAAGACCTGAAATCGACGAGTCTGCGGTTGCAGAATATGCGCCAGAAGCTCGTCAGCGAGTTGAAACGATCAGGCATGACTGATTTCCAGTGCCACCGAATGACGTGCTGATATACCTGCAGAACTTCCTCACAACTTAAGCCATGTCATTGAACCAGTCAAAACTTTTATTGACCAAAATTCCTCGACGTTATACCGAAGCCTTCACTTTCTTCAAATCCGCGTTACTCACAGCAAAATGTTTCCTCACAGCACCATTCTCAACCTCGATATCAGAACTCCGATAATTCTCCTGTCATCACAAATAAAAAACCAAGTCAGCAAAAGCCACCACCTCCCTCCCACAAAATTCTCATTTCAACTCACCGTAACCTTAACCAAAACCCTCCCCTCCCTAAAATTCGGCACGATAGACCAAACCGCAAACGTCAAATCCTCATTCCGACTCAACCCCGAAAGTCTCGTCATACTCCTCAGTATCAACGTAAACGTAACCTTCGTCCCAGAAAGCGCAACATGAACATTAAATTTCTGATTATTCTCCATCGTCCCTCCCGGCCCATCATACTTCTCCATAAGCTGCCCAGCCTCAGAACCCACGCAGATATCCACATCAATCGAGAATATCTGCAGATTATGCGTTTTATCTCGTGTTGCGGGAAAATCAGGTCGACGGGGATTCCGGATATGGGGTGTTTGGGAGGGAAGATGGGGATGGAGTTGACGGTCTTGGATTTTGGGATGGGAGTTGTGCCGAGGATGAAGGCGTCTGTGATCCATTGTGAGGAGATTTTGAGCGGGAGGGGAGTTTGTCCGGTTGTCTTTTGGTCGTTGGGGAACTTGGATGCGTCTGGTGAGAAGCCTTTGGGGTATCGAGGTGTGCGTTGGCCTGAAGCTGAGGGTAGTGGTGGTGCGGTTGTCTCGTTTCGTCGATCAGGGGTCTTTTCTTTTGGAGTCGTATGTGTGTCTGGATCATTAGGTGGTATTATTTGCCACTTGGTCTTGTCGCTATCGATGTCTGCGGGTACCCTGATTTGTCTTGAAGTTGTGGTAGCATCGGGCGGCTGGTCATTACTGTCGGATGATGCTGAAGTTCCAGCTTTGGGCGCTCGAATATTCATAATTGACACGAACGAACCGAGAATCTCCGCAGTCACCGCGGAAGATGCAGTGTCATCTTCGAAGTACTTCGTCATGACTCCGTCCTTGTTGTTGAACTGCATTTTGGCGTTTTAGACGTCGATGCACGATTTGGCAAAGGCTGGTAACACTAGCATGTTTGTGTCATAATCGAGGATGCGGTTCTGCAGGAGAGAGAAATCAGGTGTCGACTCAACATGTTTGAAGGTGTCATCGGGTTGTTGTGTGGAACCCACGAGCTTTGGGCTTGCTACGGGTATTGTGAGCCTTCATATAGAGATCCTAGCATCATGCTGACCTTCCTGATAGGTGTCTTGGGAGGAATGTTTCGCTTAGTCCTGTTGAGGTTGCCAAGGCATTCCATGCCCCGTCGCTGGCAGAAGGAGACTCAAACGCAGAGGTGAAGAAGATTGTTCAACAGACGGGAAAGACGCCGATGCGATGCGGGACAATGAGCAATGATTCTACTCGCGCAGGCGGGAAGCGTGGTGAGTATGTCCAAGTGCACCAGATGGATCAGGACCAGGATAGGCTAGAGATTGCGGATGCGGCGAGTGTGAGACCTCTGAAGTAGTCATAGTTGCTGATCAAGAAGTCCAACCAAAAATGCCCTTTGGCGTGCCTGATAAGTCTCGTCTATGATCTCGATGAAATGTTGATGATGTAGGGGAGGAAGAAGTGGATGAGGTTTGGTATGCACATCGAGAAGATTTCTTGGCGGCGGCTCTCGGCTCTCGGCAAGTGGGGCATGATGCAGGGTTGATCTCCAGATCAAAAAGTTCAAGCAGCTTGGGGCGATTTGCGACAACAACGATGCCGCGTAGTTACAGGTAGCATACTCCTTCGGTCTGCCTTGATATCAATCGCTAATGTATACAGGCGTTTTGAGCCCGCTCAAACGTTCGGCACAGTCTGCACATCGACCTCAAATACCGTCTGGACGCCTGAACCCTCGACTCGAAGCACTGGCAGCGGAAGAGCTTTCGTAGGCGCGAACGAAGATGTGCTGTGTTGGGACGTGAAAAAGGGGGAATTGCTGTCCAAATGGCACGATAAAGATAACAGAAGCGCAGTGACATGCATATCGCAATGCCATGCTCAGCCAGATCTGCTTGCGGTTGGATATAACGATGGATCCATACGCATTTGGGATGCGCTGTCTGGGCAGATCGTCGTCAGCTTCAATGGCCACAGAAGTGCAGTGACACATCTCCAGTTCGATGCGGAAGGATCGAGACTGGCGAGTGGAAGTCGCGATACGGACATCATCATCTGGAATCTACTTTCCGAGACCTCAGAGTTCAGGTTGCGAGGGCACAAGGACCAGATCACGGGGCTTTCATTTTTGAGAACACCAGTAGGCGATGCGTCCGAGGTTGAGATTGGGGAGATTGAGGAGAATTATCTACTGTCCACTTCGAAAGACGCACTGGTGAAAATCTGGGACTTGACTACTCCTCACTGCATCGAAACACATGTCGCCCAGACGAGCGGAGAGTGTTGGGCGCTCGGCCTGAGTCCTGACGGCGCTGGATGTATCACTGCTGGCAACGACGGCGAGCTGAAGGTGTGGAGGCTGGATGTCGTTGCACTTGCAAAACTTGGCAGTACCGTTGGCGAAAGCAAGAAGCAAGACGTGCTGCAAAGCCAAGGAATCATCCATCGACAAGGCAAAGATCGAACCATCGGAGTCGTCTTCCATCCCAAACAGGACTATGTCGCTATACATGGCTCGGAAAAGGCTGTTGAGTTATGGCGAATACGCTCAGCAGAGGAATTAGATCGACACATGAAGCGGAAGCGAAGAAGAAGACGAGAGAAAGCCGCTGCGGCAGGAGAAACTGCTGCGCCTGAGATAGACGAAGTGCCGGAGACTCCTGATGTCACAGACGTCTTCATTCCTGTTGTTACTGTTCGGACTGGCGGCAAGGTCCGCTCAGTCAACTGGATGACATCGAGAACAAAATCGTCAAAGCACATTCAATTACTTGCTGGCCTCACAAATAACCAGCTCGAGGTCTACAGCATCGAATCTATCAAGACCCAGGACAAGGCGGAGCGAAAGATTCCCGACTACAGCAGATCGCTGGCAGTCGAGCTTCCCGGACATCGATCAGATATCAGAACTCTCGCATTGTCTTCAGATGATCGCATGCTTGCGAGTGCGTCGAAAGGTCTGCTGAAGATCTGGAATCTGCGTACTCGGTCATGCTTGCGGACGCTTGAATGTGGAGAAGCCATTTGCTCCACATTCCTACCAGGCGATCGCATGGTCTTGTTGGGTACCGGAGCAGGCGAGCTGGAACTATACGACATCGGCACCAGCACACTTGTCGAGAAGATTCAGGCACATGACGGCAAAATCTGGACACTGGCAGTGCACCCAGACGGACGTTCCGTAGCTACGGGTTCAGAAGACAAGACAGTCAAGTTCTGGCGGTTTGACCTTGTTGACGAGGAGATACCTGGAACGAGGCGAACGGTGCAGAAGTTGAAGCTTGCGCAAACACGACTTCTCAAAGCAGCAGACGCTGTTCTATCAGTATGTTTTTCACCTGACCAGAAATACCTCGCCGTCAGTACGATGGATTCCAAAGTATACACGTACTTTGTCGACAGCCTGAAACAGTATCACATCCTCTATGGACACAAGCTACCTGTTCTGAGTGTCAGCATAAGTAGCGATTCCAAGTTAGTTGCTACAGCTTCAGCCGACAAGAATGTGAGGATTTGGGGTCTTGACTTTGGCGACTGTCACAAGGCGTTCTTCGCTCACCAGGACAACGTCATGGCTTGCGGGTTTATACCACACCCTGTCGAGCAGGACGAGAAGCATACTGTTTTCAGTGTCGGCAAAGATGGGGTTCTCAAGTCTTGGGACGCCGACAAGTTCGAGCAAATTCAAAAGCTTGAAGGTCACCATGGCGAGATCTGGGCGATGGCGATAAGCCGGACTGGTGAGACCGTTGTCACAGCTGCACATGACAAAAGCATAAGGGTATGGAACGTTGGCGACGACCTGATATTCCTTGAAGAAGAACGTGAACGGGAGCTCGAAGAAATGTACGAATCGACATTAGCTCAAAACATGGACCGAGACTTCCAAGGCAATGAAGAACAAGACGCAGAAGTCGGCGCTGCAACGAAGCAGACTATATCAACATTGACACACGGCGAAAAGATTATGGAGGCCCTCGACATCGCTCTGGTCGATCTAGAGCTGATGCAGCAGTATGAACGAGAGAAGGCTAGCAATCCCAAGCTTGCACCACCCCAGGACCGAAACCCAATCTTCGCACACATGAACATCTCCGCCGAACAGCACGTTCTTCAGACCTTACGAAAAGTCCCATCCGCTGCTCTGAATGACGCACTTCTCGTCATACCGTTCACCACACTCCCAACTCTCTACCGCTTCCTGGCCATTTTCTTCCGGAAACGCATGCAACCAGAATTGGCTTGGAGGATCACGTACTTCATGTTGCAGGCACACATGACACAGATCGTGGCTTCGAGGCAGCTGAGAGACGTGCTCGGAGACGTCTACGAGGCGTTTGATGCTTGGATAGAGGAAGAGAAGGGCATCGTCGGCTTCAATCTCGCGGCTCTGAATATCATGTGCCGAGAAGCACGCGAGAATGAAAATCTGTATTTAGACGAGAAAGTTGAGGAGGAGATTGAGCCTGAGAAAGGTAGGAAGAAGAGGGCTTTTGCTAATTTGGGATAGATTCAACGATATGAGGGAACCACAGATCGCAGCATGTAATGGCATAGCGGGCGGTAGAGGTTACCGCTGAAAGGAAGTAGTCTGCTTAGAGGATGAGACTTTTGCGAGGCGCGGATTCTCGTGTACAAGAGTTTTGAAGCTGCTTTGCTGCCAACACCTGGTACTGTGCCTATGCCTGTTCCTCAAATGTGATTGGTATGAGCTCGGTCGACCACGCTAAACGCGGACTTGACTATCACGTGAATGTATGTGATTAGTATAAGCTCGGTAGACCACGCTAAACGCGGACTTGACCATCACGTGAGTGTGTGCTCACTCTGTATTATGTGTGATTGAGGCTCGGTTGACCACGCTAAACGCGGACTTGACCATCACGTGAATGTGTAAGTGATTGATATGAGCTCGGTTGACCACGCTAAAAGCGGACTTCACCAAGTCTAGCACGTGGCTGCTAGAATACAGCGGATGATCTGAAAGTCCGCGAGACCAACAGATGTAGGGTGAATCGACCAGCTATTCGTCAATTTGCTTCAATCGTGTAGCAGCCCACTGGGCTGGGAATGTTCAGAAGATGATGTTTTCAGATCACCAATCCACACCGCCTCGGTCTCGTTTCTTCGTTCTCCGCGCGGCTGCAGTAAAGGCTCGAGTAAGCCCATTTTGCTGGTCCTCGGAGTCCAGTATTCAATGTCTCCGACGTCGAGAAACTCCGGGATTGTTGTTCGAATACAACAAGCTTACTAAGCAGAGATGCGTGCGACGACGAAGTCCACGTCAACATCAACCTGCATTCCGTGGAAATCTGGCCTGGCATGACTGCAGACTTAAGCAATCTTCGGCAAAGCGGCCATCTATGCCAAGAAAAACGGCATACCATCTCACTCCTTGAATCCAGTTTGATGGTCATCATGCACCGTCAACACCGTCTGCTAGCAGACTCACAGAGAGCTGCATACAAAGACTCTTTCGTAGTCTATTTGGTGGCCGAGGGTGAAAATTGAGCCTCCTGATGCATTCAGATGCAGGCGCAGGCACAAGCACAGGACCCTCCCGTTCATCTTCTACTGTAATTCGAGGTGAGTTCTTGTACGTTCTCATGGGTCCATGACGACTATATCCACGGCAGGCCTGGCCAAGCATTGGGCACGGAATGGAGACGACGAACGGGCAGTGAGCCGTCGAAAGCATGGGCGTTGTCCGCTGCGATCGAGACGAGGGGCACAAATACGCTGAAATATGCTGAATGTCCACCTTTTATCTGTGGCTCAGTAGTAACTACCATCATATTCCGAAACATGCGAGCAAGCCGGCTTATCGTATGCACAAATTTCTTGGAGCTTGTCACCTGCGCAGCTCAAGTCACTGCTAGAGCGGAGGACGATGTCCAGGAAATTGCAAAGAGACCTTTAGACTGCGGAGGCATTCTATTCGAAGGCCCGGTCAATCGCTGTCCGGAATATGGAACAGTCACCCTATCGGCCTCCACTACTTTCTTTGTATACGAGTGGCTATACCCTGGCATCTATACGATCATGATCTTTAGCACAATGACTGTGAGACCTCAATGTTCACATGACTTCAACGTTACATCCGCTGTTCGCACGATCGACTATCACTGGTCTTCGATGACATTCGCAAGCTGCTCGTGGACGACTGCTATCAAACATCATCGCGGATGTAAGATCCCGCGCCATCACCCTTCAAGCTGGTCACGAGTCGGGGGAGCCACATCGCACTCTACCAAGCGCTTGACACAGCTATCGCATTCAGCTCAAGCGTGGGCGTGTTCACTGCATCGCATCCCTAGGGCAAAGCATGCTCCTACTCCGCCCCAGACTCTCTTTCGCCGCTCGTCGAAAGTAAGTAAGACTCCGAAGGGCAGTTCAAACGACCTTCTAGCCACGCAAAGTGTCATTTTTGATGAAGCCTCACAGACAGCCAAGAGATTGCAGATGAGGCATTTGCACGACGAAGCTGCTCACTCAAACATGGAACCAATCTTCGTCCCTTTCAGACAATAGCCCTGTCCATCAAAGATATTTTCAGCGACTTTCCAGCTGGACCAAAAAGCGAAGTGCTGCCGAAGCTTTGCTCAAGTGAGCGTGCGCATTCCTGCGTTTACCGGCAGAGAAATATGGTGGCAGCGCGCGGATGCGCCAATATCAAGAACTTCGTGCGCTTTCTCACAGCAATCCTTGCAAACATGTATGAAGCTGCTGTGCAGTTCTGGCCACGAACCAGAACATCTTGTGGGTGGAAGAAATCTTTAGTGAACAAGGTCTTATCGGTGTCGATGGAGTATTTCTTCAGGAAGCGATACGCCGGTAATGGATCGGGTTCTCGAGGGTGGACCAGAGCAAACCGGGCAGTGTTGGAGTCAAGGTCTCCTTGGCATGTGGACGCTGACCGAACTGGCTTCCATATTGGATTTTGCAGACTGTCCGTCAGTGTCTTCTTCGTGCAATGGCGCGTCTCGAAGGCAGCATGTATCATCCAGCTCGGCAGATGAATGATCCACAAGACTGGTCGGAGTGCCAACAGATGCGAATTCACGGACTTCGCTGCTTTAGAAAAGTCGAATGGTTCGAAACCCCATTTCTGCAACCAATGTATTTATCTCAATGTTCTAAGTGTATCTCCTATAATTGGCCTTCAAAATGCATACGCTTCTGCCAAACGCTTTATAAAGGCTCCTTTTTGGTGTGCTGAATTTGAGTAGAAATCAGCGACGTGTTGTCCCAGTGCTCCGAGCAATACCAAACACCGTCCGTGCGCGACACGCCATAGCCCCTCACAAGTATTGACTGTCGAATTGTTTCTTCTCTGCTTTCCAGCAGCCGTGCTCATCCCCTGGCCATCCTTTGCTGGCCATTCACTGACTGCTGCTGCTGGCCTTACGCATACCCATAATGTCCTCCGTAGGTCTGTGGCACTGCAGCTTGTTGCTGCACATACTGACCACCAAAACCTCCTGCTTGAGGCTGCTGCTGCCTGTGTGGCCCCCACGACTGCGTATTTTGCATATGTGGCGGCACGTTCTGTTGATGGATTGGCTGCTGTTGATACACTGTATGAGGCTGCTGCTGTTGCTGTGCCATCGCAGCTCTTTGATAGGCCATCTGCTGATACTGTGCCGCTGTCGCTGCCTGTATAGCTTGCCGATGCTGCATTTGCATTTGTGCTTCAATTCGCGCTTCCTGCTGCAGGCGGATTTGTTCCTGCTGCCTGGCAAGAACAGCTTGCTGCACCATTCCATTGCGGATACCTGGCCTAAATGCAGCTTTCTCACGCTGGCGGGCCGCTAGAGCGCCCACGAGCCCCGGATTCTGCTCGTCCACCTTGATCATACTCTTCTCTAGCGGGCTCGCAATGAAGTCAAGTAAAGGAGTACCGGTGTTGCGAGCAACATGCATTTGTTCCTTGGCTGACAAGGTCATCCGGTTAGTGACAAGACCTCCATCCGGATCAAGTAAGACACTAGCTCTTTGCGAGTGAGGTCTGTTCGGCGGCGTTCGCCTCTGACCAGTCCAGTCACCTGAGACTGCCCTAGCAAAAGGCGGCGGAGTGTTAGTCATGGTCCGACGTTGCTGCGGCAGATTGCTTGTAGATGCATGGCGTTGATGCGCAAATGGCGGAACGAGAGACCTCCGTGAAATAGCGTATTGAGGTTGCTGCTGAGCAAGTTCAGCTCGGTACTGCACCCATTGCTCGGGTGTAAGAGTCTGTCGCACTTGCTGCGCACTACCAGGAGACGCAGCACCTGGTGCCCAAGCGACGCGGTGTCTGCTCATCCTTGGATCTTCTGCCTCCATTCCTTCAGTTCCCGTCGGTGTAGATGCTCTTGCCGCAAAGTATGATTGGCGATGGCCGCTCTTGCTCTCATTAGGACTAATACCAGCTGGCATGTCGAAATAGCCACTAAGTCGAGATCCGGAGCTCTGCCGCAGCCCATCCGCAGACCTCGATCTTGACCTTCCCTCCATGTCACCTGGTGTGATAGTACCACTGGTGCCCGGTCGAACTGTAGGCTTATAGGTGTACGTGGGTCCGAAATCAATAGTCGGGACTGCCGCAGCGTGTTCCAGCTGGTCTCCGTACCAGGTATCCAAGTTTCCACGTCCATAACCGCGCAGATCAGGCGCAGTCATAGTCGGGTCGCCCACAGTCTTCAGCTTGCCTGCTCGTACATACTCTTTCTGCTTCTTCTGCTGCGGCGCAACCAGCGATGACCGGCTCGCTGTACTCGCATACTCTGGCGCGGAGACGAAAGAATTGGTGTCATTACTACTGTCGTTTAGAATGCTTTCTAGGGCGTCCTCGTCAACAAATCCGATTGCATCATCACTGTAGACGCGTGCCGACGACGCCGGCGAAGCAGGAGAATCCATGTCACGCACCTGTGAATTTCCACCGCGCGATGCGTCGGTTTCTTCTGTAGGAAATTGCGGAAGCTGCTTCGGCACCGGCTTCCGAACCACACTTTCCCTCGACTTTAGCGAAGGCAAGCCGGGCCGGTCATTGCTTGCCAATCCATCAATGCTGGGCTGCTCGCGCGCGTCCATGTAGTTATCGCCATCATATCCCGCATTATTTGGCGAGCCGGGAATCGTGCTCAGTCCTTGAGGAAGGTCTCGCTGGCTGGAACTGCCGTACCCGTTGGCGTAGCCTACGAAACCCTGTGACTGATTAGCAGAAACTCCCAGATGGCTTCGGTGCGGGAGCGCATCGTGCTGCATCCTGCTTTGATCATAATCCTGCACGCCTGTGTTCACCCCAGCTTCTGCTTCCTGCGGACGAGCAGCCTCCTGCATTTGACACAGGGTAGCCGCATCAACATTGGAGTGCTTGCGGAGGAGCTCTGGAGCAACATGTGGCTGGGTCAAAGGTCGACTGTGAGGATTGTGCTGCAGTGCAGGAGGGGTGACCACAGGCTCCGGTGGTGGCATAAATGGCGATGCAGCTTGTTGGGCGACAACCTGCTCGTAAGGAGAGTTTGTCTGATCTCGCTCGCTCTCAAGAGCAGCACCAAGAACGCCACCATGTCTGGGCGGTGCCGGTGGCTCATCGTCATCGCGGCCTTGCTCATACGAAAGACGAGATGGAGTCTCTGTCATGTACTTGCGATAGCCATTCGCGTCAGACACAGAGCGCTTGTGCGGGCTCCCATTGAGAGCGGCAGGAGGCGCAGTGCCAACCCGCTTGGGAGGCTGAATGCCATCAGTTCCAGTTTTCGATGGCGAAGAGGATCTCGAGCCTGGAGTGGAGTGTGCTGCTGGTTCTTGGAATTGAACACCGCCAGTCCGGGTTGGTGGCAATGATTGTCTTGAGGTGGTGTTTCGTCGACTTCCGATGGCACGGTTGGGAGATCCGCGATCCTCCATCTGGGTGGTCATTCTGTTCGAAGTGAGCTTTCTCAGCTCCTTTCGCCACTGCCGTTCACTCCAGTGCTGGCTTCCGTCTGTGTGAATGAGGCCCGAGACATCCAAGATGTCGAGGTGCCCGTAGCGTCGGTTTGAAGGCATAGCGAACATCAGTCCGCGCTGATCAAGTGTGTCTGCAATAAGTCTGGTGGGTCGTCCGTACAGACAAAAAGTGTCGTAGACGGGGAATAGCCACCTAAGCATCATCTCGAACCCGCTGACAGCTGCATGTACCTCTGGCATCACGAATACAAAGCCTTCAGTCGTCGTTTCGGGTGACCCATGAATGGTGACGAGACCTTCAAGTTTGACCAATGTAGACTGGTCAATGAGTGGTTTTGATTGCGGATAGATGGCATATGCCGCGTAGGCATCGTTGATCGTGGCGATGGGCTTCGTTTTCTTGGTGATCTTTCTGGTATCGTAGAATTTGATGTCACCCTTAGGAAGCTGGACTCGTCCATAGGCGCTTCCTTTCTTCAGTGTCTTTTGGGACTTTGCGTACTCTTTCTCGTCGGGTGGAGAGATCACACACCAGCATCTTCTCCATGGCGTGCCAGCTCCGAATCGGACTCTTGCCCAATCATCGTACATGAATCGAGAGCGCTCCATGATCTGCCTGATGTTGTTAAGGTACTTTCCCTTGCCAGCAATCAGAGACCCAGTATAAGCTTCCTGCAACGCAGAGTGTTCGAACATGGCCAGGCGAATACCAGCCGTCCATTGGGTAAGAGAGTTCAGAGAATTGAAGTGTAGAAGGTAGCGATTGTTGGCAGCAGTCGACACGCTGAGCACGTTCTGCAGACTTCCGCCTTGCGCACCATGCATCGGAAGCGATTCGATCTAGACTCGGGGTTAGCTCATCTCATTTTGAGACTGGTCGAGGTGTATGTACCATTTTGATCGAAGCGTCGCTCAAGTTGATGAATGTTGGCACAACCTCGCCATCTTCGCCTGCTGCATCTAGAGCCGCAGCGTCCCAGAGGGAGAGAACAGTGCCCACAAGCTGAGCAAAGCACTCATTCCAGACTCGGTCTTGACTTGGCTTGCCCCGACTATCTAGATCATGCAGCTTCAAGAAGTAACCCTCTTGATAGAGTTTGTTGCTGTGGCTGTTGAGATAGCTGAAGATGGGTGCCAGCTCAGGCGGAGTGTCCTGCGCAACCTCCATCTGGGGTGGATTGTATGTCTGGATCATGCTGAGAGGCCTCGACCCAAAACGAGAATCAGCTCGAGCCTTCGATGGTGTGGCGGGAGAGCGCGGAGGCTGCTGGCCGAAGCCGTCTACTCTCGAGCGTGTTGCCTCCGTGTTGGCGGTGTCGATGTTCAGCGGTTGGCGCTTGGCCGGGTTCTCGTTCTCGCGGTCGTTCGTTGGCGGCGGCGTCGACTTCTGCAATCGTGCTGGCTCCTTCTCGTCGGTCGTCGGCGAACGTGGTGGTTTGTCCTGCGTCCACTGGGACATAAAGGACAGGACTAGACACGCATAAGTCAGGCTGAGGCACTGCAAGGGACGCTGCTTTGTTCGACCGTCGTCACAGCACACAAAGCAGGCCGGCGGTGTTTCCCAGCGCGGGCTGTGGCAGTGTGGCCCTGTGGGTGGGTGCCGCAGGACTGGTTCACGGATATACATACCTCGATTTCTAGGCATGTTGTGCTACTGTCGTCCGCTGTCGTGGGATTTGGTGCACGTTGTCCAGTCTGCCTAATATATCCACGTCGTCGGCCTCCTCTTCCTTGACAATGCAGCCTGTCACGCGGGAGCGTCACAAAGCTGTGGTTGTGGTTGTTCCAGGTTACGCGTTCCGCACGGCTTGCCGCCCGCTGAATGGCCACGCAATGTTCTTTCTGTGCAGCTGGTCAGACGCAAGAAAGTGGCAGAGAGCTGGCCATGCAAGGATGCACGAGCAGTGGCAGTGGCAGTGGCGGGACGACAGTGGAACTAGCAGAGAGAGGCCGTCGACGCTGTTTTGTTAATCCGCTCGGCCCATGGATGGATTTCTCAAAACGATGACGCTGGTCCCCGTACGGTCCGTACCACGTCCACGTCCCTGTCGCGTCCGAAAGTCTGTTGGGCGCCTTGAAGGAAGGGCCGTGCTGAAGGCAAGCAAGAACTTGAAGCAAGTCAACAGATACCGCCAGATTTCCATCTGCAACAATACCAGGTAGCACTCGTCTCGCACTGATCCTACCAAATACCTTAGTGTCCGCCGGCAGCCGCACAACGCACCAGCTGCTGACGACGATTAGGTCTCGGCAAGCAGATCTAGCACCACTGAGGCAATAAGGTAAAGGTACGCGGCGCTCGCAAATCACACTACCTATCCACACTCACGCTATTACTGCAAGGCGCGCCATCATCAATCTGTTGAGAGTTCGATCGCAGGCGAATGTGCGGCCACGCTGCCTGCCTCGCTGTCTCCTTTCACTCACTCAGCTGGAACAGCGCACCACGTCACGTCCACGGTACAGCGTCGTTGCACTCGTCTATGTTGAGGCATTGTGTTGGGCTCAAATACGGCTTCCCGGCATTCTGCAAAGTTCCTACTGTTCACCCGAAGTGCTCGGGCAGACCTCCACTTCAAACCCCAGGCCTTCCGCCGCGCATCTTGGCAGAATGCTGCATGCATCAGCGCATGACATGAGAATGTCACCAGCGAGCCATCGTAGTGTGCGCGGAGTCTGCCAATCACAAAGAACTCCAGCTTATCCAGGGAACATCACAGAACACCGTCACCCCCAAGTTTGGTGTCTGGTCGGGAGGGATCGTCGGTCTGCGGAGGTGCATCTGTCTTCGCCGCGGACAGCGGCAGAAAGGCACCGCGATTCCTGCAGGACGGAATCCTGCTTGCAGATATCCGGAGCCTTTGTGCTCTGTGCTTTGCCTGCGCCATGTCTCAGCTCGCTCATAGCTGGAGACATACCAAGGCTGTACTGTATCTGCTCGCAGAGAGAAGTGAGACCAACTTGCCAACTTAGACAGCAGATGGTATTGGAAGTTAGTGAAGTCAATCTCGACCCAAGAGATAGAGGGCCAATGGCAAGCCAAGCCCAAGATTGAATCCTCCCTCACGTGCACAGCCATCTTAGTCATTAAATCCCTGTCCCAACCACTGAGCTCTGCAACTGCAACGTGCAGACGCGTCGTCCCAGCATCCCGCCTATGCCTGTACCGCATTGCGACTCTTAAGCAAGGCTGACATCTTCGAATTTCACATAGTTGATTTGTACGAAGTCGCAGCCTGGCCCACCTGCTTAACGCAACGCAACCGAGGTCCTCACTCCTTTGTTTTAACCAATTCCCCGCGAAACATCTCGCCAACGCGAACGCGCTGACGCGCTAACTTGTATCACTTGCCGCTTCCTCACACGTCGCCTTCTGAGGGACAGCGCTCCAGCGACTACTGACCTTCAAGGCACCGACTTCGCGCGTGAAAGCTGGTACAAGCTCGTGCGATACCTTCAATAACGGTTCCAGGGCGTGATCTTGGTCATGCCTGTGAAGCAATCGAAGCCAGAGGCCAAGAAGGCCAGAAGCGCAACCTCGAACGGCACGCGCAAGGCCACTCCGGAACAAGCTCCACCAGAACATCGATCGCCCCCGCAGCCGCCTGATCTCTCCGAAGCAGACAAGACCCGACTACGACAATTCCTGGACAGAAATGCCACGCCCTTTACTGTCAAGACCGCCGCGGCGTCGAAGAAGCGCAAGAGGGATGGGCTGGTCCAGGTGCAAGATGATCTGTTCGAGGATAGACTCTCTGTGCAGTATGAGGTCGCACCCAGAGACAAGTGGGAGAGTTTGAGGCGATACAAGAAGTTTACTGGTGAGAATGTGGCCACACACAATCCCTAGGGATTTCATGATTGACGTGTTGAGCAGTTGGCCAGGAGAGCATCGCAACGGGACAATGCATCTATGTGAAGGCAGATGAGTCCGACGCTCCGAACATGAATGCTGCCGAGCAGTGGAAAGCTAAGGTGCTGGAGGTCCGCGCGCTTGATTCAGAACATGTCTACATAAGAGTGGCTTGGCTGAATCGGCCTGAGGACCTACCGGATGGACGCAAACCATATCATGGCAAGCACGAGTTGATCCCTACTAATCAAATGGACGTGATTGACGCTATGGCTGTCAACGGTAGCTTTGATCTTGTACACTGGGACGAGAAGGATGAAGAGTCGCCAATGCCCAGAGAAGACGAATTCTTCTGGCGACAGACCTTCGATTTTGCCAACTCCCGCACCTTCACCGTGAGTGCAACATTGTGATTATCACTGACCCATACTAATAAACTTGGCAGAAGCTGCATCTGATATGTGTGGATGGAGAGCCCATCAACCCCGACCAAGTCATCCTGCAGTGCTCCAATGCCAAATGCCGGAAGTGGATACATGTCAACTGCATCGCGGAGAAAACAGTGGCCGAATATGAGTCGGGTACGTGGCGTTTGCGTCAATTTTGCCTGACTCGTGGCTGACGATTTGGCAGTAAACGAGACTAAGAAAGCTGCAAACACTCCCAAGAAGCGAGGTCGGCCAAAGAATTTGACAATCAGTTCACACGCCAAAGCGAGTGGTGTGGCGAAGAACAAAAAGGGCACAGTCACCGCACACGTCTTCATCAAGGGCTTGCCTGACGGACCCAATGACACTCCGTCCGCCAGCTCTGGAGTCGTGGTGATCGATGGAGATAAGCAAGAGCATGCAGAAGATCTGCTATGCTTACACTGCTCGGAACCTATCATGGACGACTGATCTTGATTGATCATGATGCCGAATGCTCCCCGGTAAATTGCTGCATCTTCGCGAAACCCCACCACCTCTTTCACTAATGCAGGAGAGAGCGAGACGCATGAGCGCGTGGAGCCAGCGTTCACTACGCAAGTGGGCGGCTGCAAAGCGCGCGCACTGCAACGGTTCACATTTGGCAGTCGTAGACAGAGTGTGGGCTTGATGATTTGCGAGCATTGTTACTGTAGCAGAAGCGCCGCATTCTCATATGCCGACAGTGACCTGCATCGTCGGCTGCAGCACCGGGCGCAGATGCTGAGAGGACTGAAGCTTTGATATTGGCGAAGCAAATGCACCAACTAAGGCAGGACAATAATAGCGTTACGATCCGCTCTGGCGCGAGCGGCGAGCCAGGAGGTTCAGAGACGGCACGGCGCGCGGCAAGTAAGAAAGTCATGCCAGGCTGGGCTCTATCGATGGGATGGAGTCATTACAGACTCACAGACAGCTGTCATCGCAACGTCGATGGCTACATTATACGATCTTAGGCAATTCTAGCGGTATGAACCATTCGACAGTTCTCCGGCAGTTTACACCCTGGCACAGTCGGCGGCTAATATTCTAACTCGCTGTGGGACAGTTCTTGATGAATCTCCTCCCACTTTGTAATCCAACGCTGCCCAAAAATCTAACATGATCAGACTGCGCAGAAACGTTGCTCTTGGCTTATTATGCATATTATTGAAGGGGAGAATCAATCGCCAACATGGCCCATCTGTCTCCCAGTGCCCACCACGCTTTTCCTGCAGCCGCGCGAAGCCGAACCGACCACGGCCTGGCTGGTCGTTGATGTCTAAATGATCTGCCCAGGCTCCGCTTTCTGACCCAAAAGCGCGGACTAATAATAACTAGCAAGCTCGAAGCAGACAATGCCACCATAGCACCTACTTATGCAGGAACAGACAGGCACCCCAACGTAGCTATCCCCAGGCGGTGCTTGTGCGCATGGTGTGCAGAGTCGTCTGCAGACCGCCAGAGCGAGAGCGCCAAATAATAATGTCCAACAGCTGGCCTCAGACAGCGTGCTCACAGTACTCCGTAATCAAAACGCAGGGCACATACTGAGTTTCGCTTCCCTGAACGTGCAGCTTGCTCGATGCACGAGCTACAATCTGCAGGCTTCGTGCAGGACTAGGCTAGTAGCATGGAAGCGCAAGTCATGCCCATACATGAAGCCAACCGCAGCACCTAGTTACCACAGACGTGCTGTCTCTCCGATTCTACACCTGATGAGCTGAATCGCAACCGAGCCAGTTCTCGAACGGCTTTCTTCACTACTGCAGCACCGACTTGCTTCTCGCAGCTCTCTGCACACGCCTTCAGCTTCGAAGCGACACCATTGTAGCATCCGCGCTCTAGTCGGTCCTTACCGTGTGGAACCTGGTCATCGTTTCAAGCATACGAAGCTGTCCCCGGAAGCACTATTCGTGCACAGAACGACAACCTGAGGAGCGACACCACCAATATTCCGTCCGAATGGCGAACCCGAACAGCAAAACCCCCAATGCCGACCACCTGGACCCCTCACTCGAGAACCCCGCTGCCGCACCAGCCGGGAACGATGAGTCTGCTGCCAACACCATCACTGCGCAGCCTGTCGTACAACCCGAATATCCCGAGCCAGGTCAGCATCAAGCCGATGCAGGTGCAGGGCCAGTTGCAGGCGACGAGTCGAAGCCGGCAGGGCAACGACAGCAGTCACAGCTACTAGCAGAGCCGGACACGCGACCTGCAGTGCTTGTCATTGGAGGCTTAGGTAGGCATCCGAGAGCTTCAGCCTTTCGGTCGCATATATGTTGAACATCGCATACAGGTTTCATTGGCCGCTTCCTAGCAAGCTACATTCACAAGAACAAGCTCGCTTCCACTCTCCGGCTCGTCGACAAACAACTGCCCCAGCTTGCATCGCTGGCGCCGGAACATCAGGAAGCTTGCTCCACCGACAATTTTGTACAAGCCGATGCCTCCCGTGAGCAATCGCGAAGCCGCGTATTTGATCTTCCACCTGGTCCCGGTGGTGCGAAGCGAGAGTTTGACTACGTCTTTAACTGTGGTGGCGAGACGAGATATTCGCAAGAAGATGAAGTTTACAAGGTGCGAAGCTATGAGCTGAGCTTAACCGTAGGCAAGGAAGCTGCAAGGCGAGGCGTGAAAGCTTTCGTCGAATGTAGTACGGGATCTGTATACAATCCGAACAAGACACCACAGAAAGAGACAGACAAGACAAGCAAGCCACACACCAAGCAGGCAAAATGGAAACTCGCCGCAGACGAAGAGCTGTCGAAAATTGCAGGCTTGAAGTTGGTTATTTTGAGGTTTCCGAACGTATACGGGCCATATGGTGGAAGGGGATGGCTCGGCACGCAGCTTGCACTGGCGCGGGTGTACCAAAGCCGGGAGCCGAAAGATACGATGAAATGGCTATGGTCCGGTGACTTGCGAACCAACACTCTCCACGTGGAAGATGCAGCACGAGCATGTTGGGAGGCAGCCGAATGGCGGTCCAAGAATGACAGCATCCCGAACGTTCAATCGGACGCGATCGTCTTCAACGTCGTGGACAAGGGCGAGACGAAGCAGCGCACTATGGCCGACATTATCAAAGAGCTTTTCGGCATCGAGACAGGCTTCCAAAATGCCTTTGTGAATACCTTTGCGAGACTCAACCTTGAGCATGTGGTGGACGATGTCAATGATGATACACTAGACGACTGGGCGGATCTACAAGAGGCAGCAAACATCATGGATAAAGGCGGGCCACTGAGTCCGTTTATGGAGAAAGAGATCTTGCGGGATGCGGATCTCAGTATAGACGGCAACCGTTTCGAGACAGTTGTCGGGTTCAGGTGAGTTCAGATTCGATCGACGAGCGTGTAATAACGACGATGTGCTAACCCTGCGCGTTCTCCAGACCACAGCATGAGCGAATCACCAAGGATGAAGTTCAAGCCGTGATCGAGAGCTACAAGAGCATGGGCTGGTGGCCTTGACACGGTCCGGATGCGGGCGGAGCAAGTCTTTCCTGCCGGCATATGTAATGATGTGGAACGGCCGATGATATCCTCTTGTTCGTGCGGCATAGCGTTTAGTGCTAATTCGTGTTGTATTTCGATGTAGAGAGTATGCAAAGCAAGAGCAGTACGCGGCTCTGTTGTAGATATCTGTAGTAGCTAAGAATGCCTTTATCTCTGCTTCAGCGCCATGGTGCCTCGAAGTGAATGGCTACATTGACGAAACCCAGCTCTGGGCCTCCATAGTGCCACAGCGCGATGCCATGGTCGCACTGCAGCAGGGTATTATTCGGCAATCGATTCCAAACTTCCAAAGCAGCGTTTGGCAAACAAACATCATAACGACATGGGCCGGTCATGCCGAATCCAGTCCATGTCGCCAATATGAAAGAACGAGAATAGTCACACGCAACCTTTTCCGGGATATCATGACGAAATGAGCAAGCCTTGGGGGCCTCAAGGGCTTCGTATCTGAACACACCGTCGGGTTGATAGGTCACATGTCCTTCCCGCGGGAACGAGCGCAGTATCAACTGCCGCGCGAGAGGGACGATGTGCAGAGATACATCCAGACGAAGCGTCCCCGTAGTGCATCTGTTGTTCTACAGACGTCTTAGCATTTGATTGGCCAGAAAAGACAGTTTCGCGGCTCCCCGGCTCCCCGGCTTCTCCTTTCGAATCCTCCAGGGGTTGCACTTGGGACGTCACCTCACGAATCAGCTCGATTCCTGTGACGCTTCTCCCTCACACGCACATGGCAAACAACAGTGGTGAAACGCACGGAAGCAGCTGGTCGCACACGAGCACGACTTCCGTGTGCCCAGCTCTCGGGTCGTGATGCAGCCTCCAGTCTACTGCTATGGCCTGTATGGACTGATCATGCATAGGAGATTGAGTTTGCGCAAGAGTATTGGTGATCTTGCGATTAAATCCGAAACATGCTTGCCCTGCTTCATGCAGGTACCAGAATTTCGAGACTGGGGGCTTGCCCGACTTCACCTCGGTGCAGTGTGATCGACCATCGCTTGTTGCTTGGAAATGTGCAAACGCCCGTCTTCGAGACGCTGGCACGTGGTGGGGCGAATGGGAAGCAGCAGATCAACTTGCTCGAGCTGTGTGATGCAGGAGGTCTTGATGCTCTCGGCGCCGGAAGCCTGTCTGCTCTCGTGGCAGCACAAAACGTTGGCCGTCTGCGTTCACTCCTTTGATCTGTCCTGCTAACTGTTCTCCTCGGAATTCCCGTCTGGCCTCTCTCGTCCCACCGCGTTGATCGCGTAGTCGCTCCTTTGCTGGACCAGCCAGCAGCACCATGCACCTCTCCACCACGCTCCTTACAGCAGGTCTCGCATTTTTCAGTACCACTGGTTGGGCTGGATATGTGTTACAAGACGATTACTTCTCCGGCGGCACATTCTTTGAAAAATTCGACTTCTTTTCTGACCCAGATCCCACCCATGGATTCGTTTCGTATAAGAACTACGATGCTTGTATCGAGCAGGATCTGATCAGGAATTCTTCGTCGAATATCGTGATGAAGGTCGACGATACGAATGTCACCCCGAATGGAAGACCGAGTGTGAGGATTTCTAGCAAGAATTCGTATAATACTGCTCTGATTGTTTTGGACTTGGATCATATGCCTGGGAGTATTTGTGGACTTTGGTGAGTGGCGGGATATTGTGATCGCGATGGTCGGGACTGATGATTGTGCAGGCCGGCATTCTGGACCCTAGGTCCCAACTGGCCGAACAACGGCGAGGTGGATATCATCGAAGGTGTCAGTTGCAGCACATCAAACTCCATGACGCTGCACACTGGCCCTGGCTGCTCGCTTGACAGCTCCACCAGCTCGAACAAGGCCTTCAGCGGCGCTGTGGAGAATGCCAATTGTGTCTCTGCAGGTGACGACAATACCGGCTGCCAAATCGCGACTTCGAGCACGAACACGTACGGCGCTGGTCTCAACGCGATCAATGGTGGCATCTACGCGATGGAATGGACAACCGACTTCATCTCAATCTGGTTCTTCCCTCGAGGCTCCTACCCCCGCGACGTCCTCGGATCCAATCCCGACCCCTCTGGCTGGGGCCTACCACTCTCAAACTTCAAGCTGAGCTGCGACATCGCCAAATCCTTCCAAGACCATTCGATCGTCTTCGACACAACCTTCTGCGGAGACTGGGCAGGTAGTGCCTGGGCAGGCGATTCTCAATGCAGCGGGTTGGCAGACACCTGTAGTTCGTACGTCGAAAACAATCCGAAAGCTTTCTCCGAAGCTTACTGGTCCGTGAATGCTCTGAAAGTCTACCAGCAAGAAAGCGGCAGCTCCCCATCTTCCGAGCCCTACGCTTCTCCCACAAGCACCCCTGCTTCCGTCTCCAGCTCCGAGCCCGAACCTTCGAGTTACGAGCCCCCGACTTCAGCGCCTCCATACGTCACCTCCTCTCCACCAGCGGCTGCTCCAACGGACAGCGCGGGCCCAGGAAGCTATGGACCTCCAAGCGTCTCCTCATGGGGTCCCGGAGGCTATACCTCGATCGTCGGTCCCGGCGGCAGTGTTGTGGAAAGCCAGCCTCCAGCCTCGACTTCTTGGGGTGGATGGTGGAATAATCCAGATGGTTCTGCTGGGTACAATGGTGGTAGTGGATGGAGTCATGGACATGCGAGACATTTGCGGCAGCATAAGAAGCGACATGGTGGTGGTGGTGGTGGGTTTTAGGATTGCACGGTGTTTGGATTTTGTTTGGATATGATGAACAGGACATGGTCTCGTAGATAGAATAGAGAGACTGGCCATGATGGGTATGACAGAACGCGCATTTTTTATGCTCTTCTTCGATGCTCATTTCTCAACTTCCAGCTCATGCAAATTCCTCGGTTTCCTATGTATGGTCTCGTGGATAGAGAGACTGGTTATGATGGTATGAAAGAACTCGGAATTACTCATGCTCTTCTTCGCTGCAAATTTTTCAGCTTCGAGCTGCACGATTTCTCGGCTTCTAATTATCCCTGAACTCTTCTCTCTCTCTTTAAGACCACGCGTCTTATCCTCTTGCGGAAGCTTGTCAGTGTTGCCGAGCAACCTGCTTGCCCAAGACTCCTGCCCACCAAGTACATGCATGGCCTCGTGGATAGAGGAAGTGGTTATGATTGCATGACGGCCGTGTGTGCTTCTTTTTTTTCGGGACCTCTTTACGTTCAGTTCCAGTCTCGTTTATGCACCCTTCGCCCAATGCTTTGCTTTCTCGCCCTTGTGATCACGCCATCGTACTCATCATCATGGTCCTGCAACTCTCGACATTTCATCAAACCGAATAAAGGTTCCAAGAGCTTCTCTTCACTGCTAACCCAGAAATGTGGCCTTGGCGTATTTGGTGCGGTAGCAATTCTCGTCACCTTCCTTGTGCTCGTGATATTTGCACTTGGCCGTGGCGACTAGGACGCTTTCGTCTTTCCCTCCCTTTAGCTCCTCCCCTAGCTTTTTTGCAACGTCAACCAAGAAGGCCGGGTGATCTTGCTCTTCGACCAGGCGGGTGGCACCTTTCGTGGCCATGAGATGGACAAGTGCTTGGCGAATCTTCGCGCCTGGTGCTGTTTTGTCATACAGCTTGATTCTGTCGCTGGTAGCCGGAACATAGTATACCTCGTTGTCGGGTGTCAAGCTGCCAGCAATCATGGCATCTGTCACTGCGTCCTTGAAATCAACGTCCATCAGCATATCACCTAGAGCGTATGCTTCGATCAAGTCTGCCACGGACATTTTGTCTCGAGTCTGGTCTGCATTGATGTCGAGAAATAATTGGCGAGTAGAGCCAATTGAGATACACATTGAATATCTCGGGTGATTCGGCGGGCAGTGCGACGATTCCATTTCGCCCGGATGGCCACTCCTTCTTGAGCGCACTCTTGAAAAATTCCGACGATTCCGCGATTCTGTCTCCGTTGACGTGGAAAATGGTCGCGGGCTGACCGACTTTGACAACTATCGCCTTCGCTGCGAATCTGCTCTGTGTCAGAAGATGAGCCCCTTTTTTTCAAGGCAGCACTCACTGTATAGCACCAGATCTGGGGCGCAGAACGTGCGTCAATGTCTTGTCGTCAGCCATCTTCCGAGACACAAATCAGGCGTGAGGTTGGTGTCGTGTCGTGTCGTGGAGAAAATCTGTAGTCCAGAATATTTCGTGCAGATCGGGAGGGCGGAAAGCGTTGAGCTAGCGCCTTCGCCGGTGAAGTTGGCGGCTTTGCATACGTGAAAGCTGATGACAGAACACTCTGCCAAGACCATGAAGTGATGACGAAGCGACTGCGTGATCGATCCCTCTTATGGATCAGAATTGCCTACAGCTTTTCTCGTTGGACGGTGCTCGACTCCATTGTTGCGTGCCAGGTGATTTCTAGCTCATTTCTCGCTGTTATGATTCCTTCTCCAACACCTGAAGTCCGACTGAAGAACTCTCCGTGAAGCGCATCACGAGAGATCGAAACCTGGTCTCGACTCGCCACTGCCCAACAGCGGGTAAGGATTTGATGTTGTTGAAAGTGATGTTCTCGGATGAGGTTCGATCTGCGTGAAATCTGTCGATGCATGCAAGCAGTCGTGGATCCTCGCTGGTATAGAACGCCATTACTCAGCAAGCTTCGATGGAGATTGTATACCCAATCCGGTAGTCAATCTGCCTGCCACCGGAACATCCATCACGATAGGGTATGAAACGGTGCTCACAACCGCGTACAGAAAGTCCTAACCTTCCAAGTCACTGCATCATCTCGCAAGAGTGAACGATTTTCATCGACCACACTTAAACATCAAAACCATATCGACCAAGCCGATCATCCTCTACGGCTACAAGTCTGGCCTAAATCCATAGAAGGTCGTACTGATTCTTGAAGAGCTGGGCCTGCCTTATAAGCACAGATTCCTGGAGATGGAAGAGCTGAAGAAAGAGCCTTTCGAGTCAATTAACCCAAACGGAAGAGTGCCTGCAATGGAAGATCCGAATAGCGGGTTAGTGGTCTGGGAGGTAAATTCCCTGGCTCTTTGTGAGGCTTTCACCAGATTCTGACCAGATTTTATAGCCGGGTGCTTGCATCGACTACCTCTGCGAGACATACGATAAGGACTCAAGGCTCACGCCAAAAGATCCCCAAGAAAAGCTCTAGGAAACGAATGACAGCCCGGTCGAGATGGGTTAGCAGCTCGTGTAAGAATGCATGTTCAACGTAGAAAACGATGTATACCGAAAGCAGGTACCGTAAGTCGTATCCATGTCGGCATAGCCGATGCTCGAACAAGCTCGTGCTGCCATGCTGAGAAAGAGCGATTCACGCTAGTGAACTCATGTTGGGGGCGACTAAGGCAATAGTGACCTTCGAACACCCTCGAATGCAAGGTTTGGGTACGTCAAAGAGCACAGGCATGCTTTCTTGACTGGTTCTTGACATTGTAGCCGCAAATAAGGCACAATCGTTGCCTAGTGAATAGCTGAGTGATAGGCTAAGGCGCTCTAAAGCCTGAACAACCAGCTCAGAATGGCGCCCTCAAGAAGTGCTGCAAGACGCTGCAAAATTTCGAGCCGAGGTCACTAGGTGGTGGGCGAAGGTCCAGGGCAATGATAGCTCCATGTGCCCTGATGCAGCTGTGCAGGGCGAGGGCGAGGTTTGGTGCTCCGGGAACTACAGCTTTCATGCAGCTCACTAGGATCCTATGCCGGTCGGAAGAAGGCTGTGCCCAAGTCATTGCAACTCAGAGGCGGCCGAGAGACTCCCTCGCCCACAGGCAAGATTGGCTCTCTAGAGATAGGTAAATCTCGCTTGAATGAACTGCACAGCCTCAATGTACAGTGAGTTTCTAGAACCTAGAATCGCCCCATTGCCGCGAGCAAAACAATATTTGCAGCTTCGAAATCTTCAAGTGTGGGCGCCGTGCAGTGCTAGGAGGATGTACCCGAAGGTTTACTTGGAGCCCGTGCCAGTACTGATGATCAGCCGAGAATGATTGCGCCGGATCGACAGCACTGTCGCCGGGACTAGCTTCACACGTCCACGATAGAAGGTCAAGCTAGCTTTGTAGACCTAGTTGCTGCGCTTATGAATGTTCATCGCAAATGAAACGTCTGGAATCCAGCTTTGATTTCAGACTCGGTTCGACCATCTTCCAGCTCGTCCGATTCGAACCAATTGTAGCGGCTGGTGTAGACTGTGTCTCCGGGAACCATGCCGAGGCCCCGAAATTGGAAGTAGTCTTCGCGTGCGTGCAACCAAATAAAAACTTCAGGCTGCGGATGATGAAAAGGCTGGGAGTAGCAGAGTCGTACAAAGTAATCGCCGCTCTGGACTACAGCTGGTCCGAGAGCTTCAACTCCATTCGAAAGAGTTATCAAGGACGCAGATCCGCTAACTCCATTGGCATAGTCGAGCCATGGCTCGGCCAAATCCATTGAATCGAAATGCTCCGGGGCTTTCAACCAGGTGCCGTTAAGTCGCGAGAGAGTGACCTTATCTGATGTAAGGACTGGCCTACATTGGATCGCAGTGCCAAGTGTCCTGCCAAACAGGTCCAAAGTTGGCCATTGGAAGTCACCCATAACAATTTTTCGGAGTAAGCTAGGATAAAGGGAAGAACATGGCTCTTGGTGTTTGGCCGCGAACTCAACGGCCCACGACGCAAAGCCTCGGTCTTTCCCCTCACAGAAAGTCACATATGCCCATAGCACGATGGTTGAAGATTTGAGGGACGCCGCAGTAGCTCGTGCGCAGACTTCAGGATACATTACCGTATAGTCTGGAGGGACGAACTGCTTCTCCTTCTCCGGGAGGATACCGTGGACACTGTAGACCATGTCTCTTGGATCTGATGCCGATAACCCGTGCATCAGCTTTATTAGCTGGTTCAAGCCAACAAAGCCAATTACCGCGCTTGACATAGGGAGTGTAGTTAGCCTAGAACGAATGGATTCAAGATCTTCCGCGGACAGCGCCAGTCGCCTGATGGCAGTCGCCAAATCGAAAGGTTTTATCCCAAAGCTCCAATACAAGTCACGACGTACTTCGGCGGCAGCACGCCCAAGACATAACCTTAGTTTCCGCGAGAACAGATATTCTTGCAAAGTCCAAGCCCGTGAATGCCATGGCGCGACTTTATTGGAAGCCTTTGGCGTCAGAAACGGCGATCTCAGCAGCCATAGACCCCAAGCCAGGTCGCTCCTTGCTTTGAGCCAGCCTCGTCTCAGATTGCTGAACTGAGAAAGCCTCCAAGGTAAATACTGCACGAAGATGTACTTGAGATGAATTGACCTCGCAGTTGGAGATTCGCCGAGCCAAACATTGACAATCGCAGCACGGAGATAGGTTTCAGCCATGTCTGCAACTTGGTCGGCTTTCTCAACGTCATCGAGCTGATTGATGCAGACAGCGTCTACCCATAGCGTCCGGATGCTCCGCCTTTTGCGCAGTCTTCGCAAGGCCAGAAACAAGTTGTCGGTGATGGGCAGTTCGTGCTTTGTATCTAGAGTCAAGGTCCTGCCGTCAGTCGCGGGGCCCCAGACGTAGGACAAAGCTTCGTATGCGGTCGAGTCTCGAGGAACAGTTCTCAGACGACCGCGAATATCATCCTTCCAGGAGCCAGGCTGCAGATCTAGAACGCGAATTTGATTGGCATTGTTCAATCGTTCGTAAGGATAGCGATTTGCACTGGCTTGCTGCCCGGCCATTGAAAGTGTCGGAGTCGTTTTCTCTGCTTCCTAGGTTGCTCGGTTGGCAGGCATGTTTGGCTAATTATCAGAGCAATGAGGCAGAATGCAAGAAGGCTGGCCTAGATAAATGAAGAGGTGACTTGCTGCGCCACACGCCTTTCCACTTCTGGATGTCGAAATGCCTTGTATTGAAGGTCCTGAGGATGTTCATCACGTGCATGATGCCTTATGCTGCAACTGCAACTGTATACTTCATCTTCGGACTTTGTAGACTAGTCCTTCTTCCTAATACATCAGTCACATCAAGTGTTTTCTTGTGTAGCTCTTTGTGCATCTTCTCGCACTGTAGCTGCTGCTTCTGTAGGGAAGCCTTGCGAATACGGCAGACACATCCAGATTTCCTCCCCTCAAAGTCGAAACCGCATATCGAGTGATTTGCAGCATCGAGGTTTGCCACTTCTCAAGGCTTACTCATCATCTCATCCCGCCGAATCACCAAGCAGCAGAAATTTCTTCTTCTTCTTCTTCTTCTTCTTCTTCTTCTTCTTCATTGCTTTGCTGGACGTTGAGAAACAAAAAAGAGCTTCAACAAGCATCAGGATGGATCTCCACAACCCGGCATCAGTCGAAACATGACACTTCCCTCTTCAGTGCTGCATTGCATTGCATGATGCAGTAGATGCATCAAAGCGAAACCATCGGTCGGTGGAGCCTTTGATGGAGTTGACAGCTGCGAAGTCGATCTCGTGAAACGGTACACCGAGCAAGTCCGGAATCTTGATACGTATGCCCCTGCCTTGCGCAAGGCGACTTCACGAAAAGATGCACTCAGCTCTAAACAGACAGGCTACAAATATCAAAGAAAACTTTACATGATGAACGGGAATGCTAAGGCATTCTCTTCCGACGTCCCATTGTGACTTCCGAGCAACTTTCCTGCTCGTACTGTTTTTCGCGCCATCAACGCCGCGCAAGCTTTACAAGCAAAGAGCCTCGCCGCCTCTACCGCCCCTACCGCCTCTACCGCCTCTACCGCCATTCATCGTCCTTCCGTACCTCTACTCTGTAAATTGCAGCATTCGCTATGCTTGCCCCATCCCTCCCCGCCGTCATGAAGTTGGATATTACAATACATTAATGGGAGTGATCGTGCCCGTCATGGGAATGTGAGTCGGTGCCCTTCTTGTTTGCCGGTGGGCAGCAGCTCTTGCCACCACCACCGCAGTCATCTCCGCAGTCCAGCAGGCATGAGTTGTCGGGGGTGCCTTGTTGCTTGGGAGAGCCGTGACCGGATGGGCCGCCATGGCTGTGCTCATCATCGCCAAACTCAGAATCTGCGTGGAATTCTGGCTGGATGGTCGATGAGTGAATACCATATTCGTGGAGACATTTGCGGATGTCGGACGCCAATTCCATGTATCGTTGCGAGCCCTCGCCCTTGAAGTTGAAGGTGACACGCACGTGCAAGCTAGCGACCAGTTTGGTGTCGCTCAACTGCCAGACGTGGAGATGGTGACAGCTGTCAATGCCTGGAAGATCTTCGATGTCGTCCCGGATATCGTCGACCTCGATGCCGTGCGGCACAGCTTGTAAGAGAATTCTGCTGGCTGCCTTGCAAAGCGGAATGGCGGATGCGAGAATGATGCAGGTGATGACCAGGGATATAGCAGGATCGAAGTAGAAGCGGCCCGGGAATTTGGTGAGCCAGATGATCAGCGCCGTCGCGATCACACCAATGTTGCCAAGCGCATCGCCCATAACGTGGAGGAAGATGCCCTTCATGTTCAAGTCGCCGTGTGAGTGACCGGCACCCTTGCCTGGTTCCCGTGGCTGCGCGTGCTTGTGGTCCTTGTGGTCGAAAGACTTGGGCTTAGCAGATGCGGACTGAGTTGTACCATATGCAATCTTTTGTCCGTTTCCACCAAGCAATGGCTCGAATTGGTCGCTCTTTGGCACGTCTTCGCCCTGCACCGCCGTCTCCAGCGGCTCCTCGTCCGACTCCACCGCCTCCATGCGACCGGCTGCGATGATGGAGTTTCTGAAAGCGCTTGGACCCGGATACTCTTCTGGCAAGAAACCTCTCGAGGTCGATCGACTGTGTCTGCGCGCCTTCTTTGAAGATGGGCTCATGACGTTCACCGCAGTCGAATCGCTGGCGGTATCTTGACGCGCGACATCTGCATCGCCGTTGGCCTTGCTCTTAGTTGGAGTTGGTTGGGCGTGCGCATGTCCGGCGTGCTCTTCATGACTATGATCGTGGCCGGCATGACCCTCTTCAGCATGTCTGGCTTCATTGGAAGGACCGTGGCTGTGTCCGCCATGACTGTGACTGTGATCATGGAAGAGCACCAGGCCGACGAGATTGGAAGCCAGACCAAGGCATCCCACAATCAAGACCAGCTTTGGGTTGCTGACCTCCTGCGGTTCCACGAATCGTTGGATGGCATCAAGGAAGATGGTCACGCACAGTGCCACCAAGAAGACACCGTTGACCAATGCTCCGAGCGTTTCTGCGCGCTGGTATCCATACGTGTACATCTTGGGGGCGGAAGTCTTGTTTGCCATCTTGACTGCCCACAATCCGACGCAGAGCGACAAGACATCGTTGAGCATGTGGAAGGAATCGGCCACCAGGGCCAGCGAGTGTACAGCATAACCGGTGATCAGCTCGAGCAGGAAGAAGGCGCTGTCGATGGCCAGCAGGATGATAATGCGCGTCGATTTGGAGAGGGCCATGGTGGGCAAGCGGCAAGCAGAGGCCGATCGGGGTGGAAGGGTAGGAGGTTTGCAGAGCAGTGCGGCGCTCTGGAGCGGGAACTGGAGCTGGGAGAGGCCGCGTTATCTGCCCTCCTTCTCCTATAAAGTGTTTTCGGAGGTGAAGCTGGGAAGGACCATGGAAGCGAAGCGGGCACAATCAATGCGACTGTGCGGAGTCCGGGGGAAGTGTGCGTGTGCGTGTCGAGAAAGACAGAGTTCGTTCTAAACTTGCGTATCGTCTGCCGACATGCCGGTATCGCAAGACGTCAAGGATTTGCAATCAGCGCTTCACGGCGTCAATTGAAAATTCTACAGGTGTCGCCTTGCAGTGTATCGCTGCGTAGCAACCGACCACCTCTGCCCCGCTCCCTGCACCTTTTCTGTGCTCGCTTCTGTGAGAGTCGACGGTCGACGTTCTTGCCCGACATCGTTCAAAGCAGAAGTCGCAGTCGCCTCCACCACTTCTGACGATCCCTGCATCTCGCACGCCATCGAGGCTCGACCCTTTCATCCACTAGCTTTCCCACAACACCTCCTCCAAACGTACGATATCCGTTCATCGTCCTGAATACCATGTCATATTCATGCGACAAATGCTGAAGTAATCCCATATTGAACCTCGTGTCCCACCAAAGGGAAGTATGCATCGCCATGTCTTTTTTCTTCACCTCCAGCCAATAGCTTGGCCACGCTAGATCCTCTCTGCAAGAAGGCCGGCAGCGGCGGCCCTTGCATCATGTGTCAAGAATGCGTGGCGTTTGGTCGCCGAGCGCAGCGCGGTGGGACGAGAAGACGCGCAGGTAGGGAAGTTGGATATAGATAAGCTGACAATGTCCAAAACAACAACATTTCCCATTGGAGACAATGAGCGATGGAGAGCGATTCTACCGCAAAGGGAGACCGTACGGCGTATGATACGGATGGAGCGTTGGTCGAGCACACCCGCGGCGACTTGATTCCCGAGCCAGAGCCTGCTTATATCCCGGATGGTATACCAGATGATGAACGGGAAGCGCAGGAGCTTCATCAAGTGGCAAGTGAGCCTCGAGAACGAATTAGTCGCATTCTGAGCCCTGGAACAACAGCGCAAGAGTCTTGGTTTGGTCCTGTGAAGAACTTCTGGAGGCATCACGTTAGGATTGATGTGCCGCACGTGGATTGCAGAGATCATCTTGGTGAGTCAGCTATTCTATTTCCTGCTACGTTTCGTCTTGGGTAGCAGTGCCAGAAACGGACTGCTATATGTCAGGGAATACACCAGCGCAAAGGATTCCTGGGGACGAAAGCTCGGCCCTGGAAGTCATAGCGCGCCCTCCAGATGTCGACAGTCTTTCCTGCACTTTTGTTTCGACCATCCAGGGGTTGTTCAACTCGACCAAGTCAGCGTAGTCAACGAGAGCAAAGCTGGCCGGACATGGATAACAACAACATGGTTGAAGCTGTAACCAGCCGTAGAACGGATCTCTCTCCGCTTCCAGAATCAGGATACCCCAAGTACATCAGGATGCGAATGACTCGGGCGTAGATTGGGCAAACTCAATGGTCCGGCATATGTCAATGACCCAGGAGCAGCCGAAGAATAAACATACCACGATACCTCGCCTGAGAGTCGTACCGTCCCACAGCCAGATGATGCTGATCCACCCTCCAGGAGAGCAAGAATGCTCATGGCCTGTCTAGAAGAAGCACTGGCAAGAAATCCAGAATACCCGCAGAACCCCCCCCCCC